AATTTTCACAAATGCCCTCGCAGGATTGGTCGTCTATTTTAAAAATATCTTATTTTAATTTCTTAGCATGGTACAAAAACTAATTTGGATGTCTATCATAATATATTTTTTCATTAATCATATACCAAGAATCTTAATCTACTTGGGAAGTTTTTATTAATTTTTCCAATGCATAAGCTATGTTTGTGTTGGCCTACTTGAAAACTTAATACTTCATTACATGTGATTTTCAATATTTGTCTATCTAGGCAATCAATGAACCAAAATAGAAGATACGTAAAAATTCATGAATCCGACTATAATTTTAGCAACAATCATAGTTTGATCGGGGCGTGTATAAGATGTTGATGAATAGAAAAGGTTAAAGGTATTAAATAATTGCAAGTCTAAACTATAAATAATGGATTTTTGTGGACCTGTACGTACCGGTTTCTGTTAACTTAAACATCTTTCTCGATAATGCACATGACTATTTTGAGTTCAACAATATAAGAGTTGGCAAATCAATATTTCTATAATATTACAAAAAATTGACAAAATATACCAAATATCACTAATATTAACATGATATTAATATTAATAAATTTCAACTTTTATTTTTTTTCTAGAAAGATCCACCGAATCAATATCGACATTTTCATAAAATTGAGATATTGACATTTACATCAATATTTAAAGCTTTAAGTTTCATACAGTCCAACGAATATCCTATATGGCACATGGAAATACTCTTCCTATATACTATTTCTCTTTATATCTAATTACACTACTGTCTGTCTATCATTTTATTTAATGATTCCTACATAACTTTAAATGCTAACTCTATGGGTAACAAAATTGGAGTACTCATCAAAATTGCTAAAAAAAACAAAAACAAAAGAAGTTCTTAATCTCTATTTTATTTTCTACCTTGTTTTATAGTAACTCGAAGTTTCCACCTCTAATAGACATCAACCTAAGGAAAAGAAATCAATTGAAAGAAAATGTTGTAAAACAAGAGAATCTTGAATAAGATTTCAATACTTTTGATATGAAAATAGAAGGCTAAAATAATACTAAAAAGATAATGTGGAAGTATACGTAATAGAAAAAGAAAAAAAAAATGTCAGTCTACCTAGAATTTTCTCATTAAATAATTATCAACATCAATTAACACCACAAGAATTGTATTTCAATATAATAGATTACAAAAATATAAATAGTCGTGTCCACAAGAATTATCAAGAGGTGAAAAACCATTCCATCAAGAAAAAGACTATCAACAATCTGGCTTGAAGTATGGGGTTGAAAATTCAAAATAAAGAAAAGAAGAAAACCAATCTCCAATAGAAAAGAAATCTAGCACCCACTATAGTGATTCTATTTGTGGAATAAAATCCTCCAATAAACTAAATGATAATGATATCAAACGATATATGCACTTATTGGTGCAAATATAATGATGCTCTTTCCAAAATTTAACATTATTTGTTTATATTGTGATTGAATGATTGAACAATTTCACTCTATGTCAATGTGTATACATGAACAGAGAGGATACATGAGACTGTTCTTCTTGCACTGGATTTATATGAATTCCATACCTCAAATTCTTCGAAAAACAAATTCGAAAATGTAGATTGTTTGTTTAGCTATTATTCAAATGATCCTATGTTTACTAATTTTCATTTCATTCTCCTTCCAATATTTTGAAAAGAGGATTGATGAGGAAAGTGAGAATGACAGAGGACGAAGCAGGACACGAAGCGAAAGAAAAATTCGCTTCAAATTTAATAAAACATTCAGAAAGCTATTACTGATAAGAATTATTATTTTTTTTTTTACCGTGTTGCTCGGATTGAAGAAAACGGATGCGATCGATCTCTTCAAATCGAACGATCGAACACATCATGCGAGTCCTCTGGTGAGTCTCCGTTTGTTCGCCTGCAATATTTGACAAAGAATTCTTCAAGATTTTGACCTTCAATGGAAGGTGATAGTTTCAATTAATAGACAATGCAAGGGAAGGAAAAAACTATCCTCGTCGTAAATTGCAATCCAAGACTCTGAAAGAATTTTCTTCCATGGACGAGGTCAAGTCGAAACCCTAATTTGATTCAAGATCTCAAAGCCCTACAATGGTGTGGCGGGGAAACCTCTCAAGTCTCAATGGCGCGCAAAAGTATTTTAACTTCATTTATAAACAAAAATTTTGTATATATACCATTTTTTTGTCGACATTCTATGGAAACGTGGAATTTTTAAATTTATGAAAATAGTAATAAAATTGGAAATTTGTTTTTACAAATAAAGTTAATAAATAAAATTTTAGATTTTTTAAAGCAAATTGTGAATCATCAGTGGAATTTTTAATTTAGCGTTATAAAGTTTCAATTTAATCTCTTATTTTTTTAATATTTTTCAATGTAATTTCTCACAAAATTAACTAATGATAAAATTATATAACATTATACGGGTGAAACATCTTATTTTAGATCATCTAGAAATTTAATTTTCCGTGCTGTCGCAACTCCTTATTCAATGTCATGCATGGTTTGATAAAGGAAATTTCAGAAAAAGAAAATAAAAGAAAAGAATATGCTACGAAGGTTATAAATTCAATCGAGAGGCATTAATGTAATACGCTTTGATTGTCCATTGTTAAGCAAAATAAAAATTTAGAGACAAACCACCATAAACGTAATTGACACTTATTGTTTATTTTGACGTTCAAATCCCATACACCAATTTGTTGTACTCGGTCGTACTTGGGCAAAAAAAAAATAAAAAATCAGATACAAAAAGAAGGAGAAAGTTTGTCACTTTATTCCAAGTAGATGCACATCTGAAGTATCCCAAATGGGCAAAAATAATATCCAAAGCTTGTAACCATTTCCAAGCAAATAATAAACAATTACTTCTATTACAGTTTCCAATGGGACAAGAACTAATAAAAACAATTTCTTCACTCATCATACAAATAATAAACAATACTTCTATTACAGTTACTATAATTTCATCTTCCACACTTGGATACCGAACTTTTGCACCAACTTTTAGTTAAAAATTGATCAACTTCTGCACAAAGATTTGTGCAGCTAGAGCTTAGTCGTACCTTGAATGCAGAAGGGATGAAGACGTTTTCTCGAGATTCCTGCCAACATAAGTCGAGTCTGCAGCAGCAAGAGACAATGAGAACGATGTCGGTGTAGCGGTTGAATCTGCCAGGGTGGAGAAATTACTAACATTGCTACTGACATAAGTACTTGTTCCGCTTGCAGACACCATGGATGTAACTTTGGGTGTGGGTGGCCTCTCGACGTCGACGACTCCTTCGATCATCTGCACCACTTTTCCCATCATTGGCCTATGAGATGGTTGCTCCTGGATGCACCAAAAACTCACCTGAACCACCCTACTCACTTGCTCCATATCAATCTCTTGATCCATAAGCCTTTTGTCAACGATTTCCATCACATTTCCCTTCTCAAACTCTTCATAAGCCCACAAGGAGAACCTCTTGTTATTTGTTTCTGCAGAAACTTCGAAATTTCGTCTTCCACTTACAATCTCCAACAGAACCATGCCATAGCTGAAAGCATCAGATTTTGAAGTCAGGGGCAGGTTCGCAAGCCATTCAGGTGCCAAATATCCCCTCGTCCCTCTCACGCTAGTCAGCGTTCGGTATCTGCGGTCTTTCATATTTATGAGCTTTGCTAGGCCAAAATCTGAGACTTTAGCATTCAAATTCTCATCCAAGAGTATGTTCTCTGGCTTTATATCACAATGAATGATGCAATCCCGGCACTCCTCATGAAGGTATGTGATCCCCTTAGCAGTGCCAGCCGCAATTTTGAATCGATCTTCCCAGTTGAGGAGCTTCCCAGAGTGTCCGTCTTCTGCATTGAAAAGCAAACCATCAAGAGAGCCATTTTTCATGAGCTCATATACTAATAGCCTATGGCGTCCTTCCGAGCAGAAACCAATCAATCTCACCAGATTCAAATGGTGCGTACTACTTATAGTTGCTACCTCCATCCTAAATTGCTTTTCTCCCTGCTCGATTCCCTCGAGTTGCTTCACTGCAACAGCTGTCCTATTAGTAAGAACACCTTTGTAAACAGCTCCAAATCCACCGGCTCCAAGCTTTTCCTTGAAACCCTCAGTCACACGGTGGAGTTCCTTATACGAGAACTGGACCGGAGCACCAGAAGCATACTCAAGAAGAGTATACTGGGTGGACATCCCTCCAAAATTGGAGCTGGTTCTGCAACACCACAACCATAAACCAACCCCGAAGGCAATCATGGCAAAAAGGGTGACCAAAACCACAACTGCCAACACCCAAGCCTTCAAACTCCCACACTCACTCAGCCTTGGAACAGCAGGAGATTCCAGGTTGGGGATCACAGGTCCACAAACCTTCAGAAATGAAGTGCTTGGCAGTGAAGGACTGTGATATCCCCTAATAAAACCTGATGGTATGTAATAACAGTACCCACTTCCATCTGATGGTGCAGTGGAGGCATTACAAGTAACACTTTGTCGACAATTTGATTGACACCCTGCTATCTGCATGGTGTACATGGCTGCATCCCTTGGATAGGTTAAGAGCTTTGTATTTGTCAACTCCAACATGGTAAATCCGCTGGAACAGTTTCCAATATCAAACTTCCTCTTACACCCTTTCTTCCAATCGTTTGGATCAACTGGCTCAAAATTTGCAGATGGGCAACCACAGATCGGACTTGTATCATTATAACTACAAATACCAAGTTCCCCACAGAATCCAAATATCTGACATTTATCTGGAACAGCTTTCCATCCCACTTTTTCGAACCCACTGCCTCTAACGACGCTGTGAATTTCTAAACTTCCATCACTTTTCAACTTCAGATATCTAAACGTATTGGCCCCAGCATTATCTCCATAATCGTTGCTATAAGCCACAAATGATGAGTCTGGTATTTTGGTATCAAAAACAGCCAACTCCCCGATAGGATCTAATTGTAGACTAGGAGAATTCAAAGTCCCATTGATCGACGTATTTAAGCCGCGATTCCAATAAACTACATCAGGTCCATCTCCATTCCAAATCAGAGTTATATTTCCAAAAGGAAGTAGTTTAAAAGAAAACTGGCCAGATTGCAGGACCATCCCAACCGTGAAATTTTGCGGTGGAACAATCGTGTCGGTCGGGTAGTCGAAGGAAGACCATACGGGCTGTGACCTACTATTTAAAAGAACGAGGTTGCCGGATTCCTCGAGTACAGCGGAGGCGACGCCACGGCCGGTGGTGTTAGATTCCCAAACGACGGCACCGGAGCCATCGACGAGACGAAGGTTACCGTCGGATTGGAAGTGAAGAGCACCAGAAGAGTCCACGGTAGCACCACCGCCGGCGGACGCCAGAGTACACAATGCCGGCGATGAAAGAAGGAGAGGAACTGGATACACTCGAGGGAATGAAACGAAGAGAGAAAGTGGCGTTAGACGAAGACCACGCCTGGTCGGGATTGGAAACTCTCAAAGATGAACCTAGAGATATGGCGGCTGCCAGAACAGAGACTGGAAATGCAAGAAGCAAAGGAAGAATGCAGAGAAACAAACGCCAATGGAGGTTCATTTCTCCTAGATTTCACGACACAGCAGAACGGAAAACGGAGGGGAAATTTCTCAGCAGCGGAATCCGAACATAATTCACCACGGAATCCGAAACAAGATTTTGCTACTCCGATCGAAGTGTGATGATTTCGCTTCATACAAATTGCAGAAGAAACATGGCAGCAATCTGGAAGTGGAAGTATAAAAGTAGAGAATGGAAAATCAAGATATTTTACCAGCGAATTCATTGGAATGTTCTTCCGTCCACTCACGAATCCATCAGTCAATCTTGAAATGAAACGAAAACGACTCTTGGTGTAGATCAAGCCAGTCCAGTAGAATTTTTTTGATCTCTGATTGATAATTTACTCTTACGTATGAGATACTGAGAATGAGAGTGAGATTTTCTATGCCCAATTTGCGGGTTCCAAACTTCAAATTTGAAGTCATTCAGACTCATTCATCTTTTTTCTTTTTTCTTTTTTTTTTTTATTTTCTTATGATTATAAATTTAAAATAAAAATGGTACTAAAAAAACTAAATTCAATAAAAATAGAGAGACCAGAGAATTAAATTTAAATTTTATTACAGTAAGAAACAAAGTTCGGGGATGGTCACGGTCATAAGGCCTTCTCCGTTCTGGAGAGCGGGTGAGTTTTCTTTCAATTCTCCAACTGAAGGCCCTTCCTCTACGGAGGGGGTGCGTTCTCTTCCAATTCTCCGATTGAATTTTTTTCAGAAGAGGTTCTTCTATGCTTTATATCGATTTTGTCGTGATTTTCTTTTTTTTTTTTTGGAGAGAATCCTTCACCCCTACAGCTTTTTGTGACGACGAATAATGGTCAGTTGTCGACATCTTCCGGTTGGAGGTTGATAGTGGTGTTGCGATTGAGAAAATAAAAACAACATTGGTATGTATGTATTCTTCGTTTGGGCTCTTTGAAGAGTTATCAGAGGCTCACTTTTCTTTTTCGTTACATCTTGGTTCAGAGAACGTCTATAGTCCACGATGAGGGAGTAGAAGGTGGGCGACGATAGAGATTCAGCGACGATTGGCTCAAATACCGTTTTGGAATCTAAGGAGGCTATCCGTCTTAATTGTATTGAGATATGTAACCAACGTGATTTAGAGAATTTGCTTAACTGTTCATTACCTGTCATGATGGAGAATAAGACAACTTTGGAGACAATTATTTTCCTTCCAATTGTGAATAATGGTGTCATAATTTACAAGATACCTTCATTAATTGAGGAGTCTCCCCCGACATCATCTAATGAGATTGAGGATGTTGTGACTTTGGAGAAAGTATTTAGTGGGCTAAAATTTATTCATATTCTTAGTTCTTTAAACAACTATTTGACAGTAAGTGGTCATCTTTCTTTTTAATGCATTTTCTTCGTTAGAAAAATAAATATATATTACCGTGATATTCAATTTCTGTCAATATAGATAGAAATTTTCATATGTCCATGCAGAAATATCCCTCGATATCGACATCGATATTTAATACATTCTCATAAAATTAAAGACGTTGACATTTCTAATTTTAATCTTGATTATCATGTCTATACTCTCCCTTTAAACACATCGTACTTTTATTCATAAAAATTTAGTCTTTATATTTAACCAAAAAAAAAATGTAATGCTTCAAAGTCTTTGAATTAAAATTTTTAGGCTAAATAATAAATGTGGGCACTTAATTTTTAGGGATGTGTTTATTTTGTCTTTGAATGTTTGTAATGGGTCTTAAACTTTCCTGGCTGTGTCTATTTAATTTTTTTACCTTAAATTCCCCACATTTGTTGTATCAAGAAAAGGAAAAAACACTCGAAATATAATATTAAGAATTTAGAATTCAAAGTAGTGAATTAATGTAAACTCCTTTGAAATATATATATAGACACACACAATTACTTATCATAATGATCATACAAATAATAAAGGAGACAGTAAATTTGGCGATCAATACAGTTTTATTTGGAGTTACTATAATTAGATCTTCCAAGGAACTTAGCTGGGCTTGCGCCCTCAACACCAAAACAAAACTTAGCAACTAACTATTTACAAGATATTTTCACATTTACATGGAAAGATAACTTTGATTGTTGATCCACCATGACTTGAAACTGTAAGCTTTTTAGTAAACATTTGAGCAACTTTTGTACCAAGATCGGTGTATGAAATGTGACAAGAACTGAAGGGCTTAGTCGTACCTTGATTCCAGAAGGGATGAAGTTGTTTTCTCAAGGTTCCTGCCACCAGAAGTCAAGTCTGCAGCAGCAAGAGATGATGAAAACGAGGCCGGTGTAGCGGGTGTAGCCGTTGAATCTGCCGTGGTAGAGAAATTACTCACGTTGCTGCTGACATAAGTACTTGTTCCGCTTGCAGACACCATGGATGTAACTTTGGGTGCGGGAGGCCTCTCGACGTCGACGACTCCTTCGATCATCTGCACCACTTTTCCCATCATTGGCCTCTGAGACGGTTGCTCCTGGATGCACCAAAAACTCACCTGAACCACCCTACTCACTTGCTCCATATCAATCTCTTGATCCATAAGCCTTTTGTCAACAATTTCCATCACATTTCCCTTCTCAAACTCTTCATAAGCCCACAAGGAGAACCTCTTGTGATTTGTTTCTGCAGAAACTTCGAAATTTCGTCTTCCACTTACAATCTCCAATAGAACCATGCCATAGCTGAAAACGTCAGATTTTGAAGTCAGGGGCAGGTTCGCAAGCCATTCAGGTGCTAAATATCCCCTCGTCCCTCTCACGCTAGTCAATGTTCGGTATCTGTGGTCTTTCATATTTATGAGCTTTGCCAGGCCAAAATCTGAGACTTTAGCATTCAAATTCTCATCTAAGAGTATGTTCTCTGGCTTTATATCACAATGAATGATGCAATCCCGGCACTCCTCGTGAAGGTATGTGATCCCCTTGGCAGTTCCAACTGCAATTTTGAATCGATCTTCCCAGTTGAGGAACTTCCCAGAGTGTCCGTCTTCTGTCTTGAAAAGCAAACCATCAAGAGAGCCATTCTTCATGAGCTCATATACTAATAGCCTATGGCGTCCTTCCGAGCAGAAACCAATCAATCTCACCAGATTCAAATGGTGCGTACTACTTATAGTTGCTACCTCCATCCTGAATTGCTTTTCTCCCTGCTCGATTCCCTCGAGTTGCTTCACTGCAACAACCGTCCTATTAGTGAGAACACCTTTGTAAACAGCTCCAAATCCACCGGCTCCAAGCTTTTCCTTGAAACCCTTGGTCACGCGCGTAAGTTCTTTATACGAGAACTGGACCGGAGCACCAGAAGCATACTCAAGAAGAGTGTATTGAGTGGACATCCCTCCAAAATTGGGGCTGTTTCTGCAACACCACCACCATAAACCAGTTTCAAGAGCAACCAAGGCAAAAAGGGTGACCAAAACCGCGACTGCCAATACCCAAGCCTTCACATTTCTACCCTCACTCTGCCTTGGAACATCAGGGGATTGCAGTTGGTTTGGGATCACTTGTCCACAGACCTTGAGATATGCAGTGCTTGGCAGTGCAGCACTCTGATATCCCCTAATAAAACCTGATGGTACGTAATAACAAAACCCACTTCCATCTGATGGGGCAGTGGAGGCAACACAAGCAGAACTTTGTCGACAATTCGATTGACACCCCGATATCTGCATCGAGTAAACCTCTGTATTTACTGGATATGTTAATAACTTTGTATTTGGCAACTCCAACATGGTAATGCCAATGGAACAGTTTCCGATATCAAACTTCCTCTTACACCCTTTCTTCCAGTCGTTTGGATCAACTGGCTCAAAATTTGCAGATGGGCAACCACAGATCGGACTTGTATCATTATAACTACAAATACTAAGTTCCCCACAGAATCCAAAAATCTGACATTTATCTGGAACAGCTTCCCATCCCACTGTTTCGGACCCACTGCCTCTAACGACGCTGTGAATTTCTAAATTTCCATCATTTTTCAACCTCAGAAACCTAAGCGTATCAGCCCCATCTGCATAATCGTTGCTATAAGCCACAAATGATCCGGCTGGTATTTTGGAATCAAAAACAGCCAACATCCCGATAGGATCTAATTGTAGACTAGGAGAATTCAAAGTCCCATTGATCGACGTATTTAAGCCGTGATTCCAATAAACTACATCGCTATTCGGTCCATTTCCATTCCAAATCAGAGTTATATTTCCAACAGAAAGTAGTTCAAAAGAATACCGACCGGATTGCAGGACCATACCCACCGTGAAATTCTGCGATGGAACAATCGTGTCGGTCGGGTGGTCGAAGGAAGACCAGACGGGCTCGCCGCTACTGTTTTGAAGAACCAGGTTGCCGGTGTTATCGAGTACAGCGGAGGCGACGCCACGGCCGGTGGTGTTAGATTCCCAAACGACGGCACCAGAGCCATTGACAAGACGAAGGTTACCGTCGGAATCAAAATGAAGAGCACCTGAAGCATCCACTGCAGCACCGCCGCCGGCGGACCAAATCGTAGGAACACCACCGGTGTAGACTATGCCGGCGATGAAGGAAGGAGAGGAACTGGATACACCCGAGGGACGGAAACCAAAAGAAAAATCCCCGTTAGACGAATTCCACGCCTGCTCGAGATTGGAAGCTTTCAACGATGAACCAAGGGATATGGCGGCTGCCGATGAAGAGATTGAAAGAAGAAGAAGCAAAGGAAGAAAGAAAACAACCAAATGGCTATGGAGGTTCATTTCTCTTCGATCTCGCATCACAGGATCCGCAACGAAATCGAAGAAAATCAATAGGAGAAGCTTGGAAAAGTCTCAGAAGAATTTGCTTCTCCGATCGAAGCAACGGATTGTGCATATAAAGTACAGAAGAAAAATCGCAGTCATCTGGAAACAGAAGACTGGAAAATGGAAATGCCCATGAAATCATTGGATTGTAATTTCTTTGTTCTTCCACTCGTGAATCCAATCCACCGGTCAACTTTCTCGGGTCTGTAAGGAAAACGACTCTCAGAACAGTCAAATTTTCTTTTCTACCAAACAGATTTGATTTATTTACAACATACAAAACGGAGATATTTCTTTGCCCTAATTCGCGGGGTTCCAATTTGAAGCCATTAATTCATTTTCCAACCCTACGTGTCGTGATCCTATTTTTTGTCTTTTTCCTCATAATAAAAAAAAATTAAAAAGAGAGAACTGATAATTATATTTAGTTTCTACCATTTAAACTTTATAACCATGTTGGCCCTACTATTAAAAAATTTCATCAAAATTAAATATCGATTTTAATTATATAACGATTTAGTTTTTATAATTTATAAACACATTTGATCACTTATCGATCTACATATATAAGAAATTTAATAAAAAAATTTACAACAATGACTAAATCGTTACGAACTTTAGACTATAGAATTAAATTGTTACGTACTAATGTTCAGGGACTAAATTGTTTATTAATTTGAAAGTGAAATGACTAAATCACTACTTCAATGAAAGTACAAGGACCAAAAGTTTTTTTAATCTATATTTTAGGTATATTACATGTACTATAGCTATATAAAACATAATTAAAATCTTTTGTTAAAAAAAAAAGAAAGCCATAGATTAAAATATAATATACTAATAGTCCATTTTTATTTTTGTTTTTAATATACATGAGTATTCGAGATAGCTTATGTACCCATCAACTTAATCTCTCCATACTATCATATGACTCCAATAATTATCAAGAAATTCTATTAAAAAATAAATGTCAAGAAACTCATAAAATTTTACGTCTTTAAATTAAATTTTTGTTAAATTGTTTTATTGATATATAACTTTAAGTACAAAACATAGATTAATAAATGACATGAACGACCCCTTACGATCCCTAAAAAAAATAATAAATAAATAAATTATAATGATAAAATTTCACCTAATCCAAGTTTTACTAGTCAAGTTGAAGCCTAGGGGTTAATTAGTGAGAGAATCATAGCTTCTTATTTCTAATTGGATGTGCATTATTTTATTTTTATAAATACATTTTAAAAATTTTATTTTATTTATTGACTTGAATGCCATTATAGCTATTTTAAAAAGAATGTAGAACAAATTGGACAGGTATGCCATAAATAAACTAAAGATTCCAATTTGAAAAAACAAATAAATAAAGAAGAAGAAGTATTGGTTTGAATAATTTAGATCACCAAATAGACTAAAATTGGTTATGTTTAATTATCTAAATAATTATAACATAAAATCATATGAAAACAAAGTCAAATTGCCCGAAACTTCGTCAACAGAAGAAACAGTCCCATGGAGTAAGGGTGTCAAATTCGAGTATAAAANATATATTGGAGTAGAAGAGAAAATCTATAAGCATCGAACACATTTTTTACTTTGTGATTGGAAAAATACAAAGTGAAAACAAAATAATTTAATAAAAAGGTGTACAACTAAGAAATCTAATCGAAGAAATCAAACGAGAAAAAAATAAAATCCAGAAATATCAACTTTGATTTTGTCAATTTCAATTGGTTTGATTAATTTGGTTTTCTAAAAAAATAAAATCCAGAAAGATCAACTTGATTCTGTCAATTTCAAAAGGTTTCAATTTGATTTTGATAAGTTAGATGAAAAAATCAGATTGTCCATTTGATTGGTACCCATCACGTATGTTATAATGATTATAGTTTATATCACCATTGTTAAGTTTATGTTGCTTTAAATTTATAGCTAGATATAATTTATATTTTCATATAAATGAAAAGGTAGCCGGATAATATATCCATATAAGTGTATGTTATAATGACTATATTATTAAAATTTGACAAAAATTGTAATGAAATGAATAAATATTTGAAATAAATTTTATTATTTAGTATATTAAGGAGTAAATTTGAGAATTATGAGAATAATTGAATATTTTGTAATAAATTTTATTATTTAATAGAATATATATTCTTTAGTAGAATATATTAAAGGAGTAAATTGGAGAATTATGAGAATGATTGATTTAGACCTCACAAAAATTTAATGTTTACAAAATCAAATTTGGAATATTAATCTTTTGCATTTAAATAAAAGATTAATTATAATAAATATAAATCCTATAAATATAAGACGTCGATTTCCCAATAAGATCACCCAAAAAAATATTGGCACATATGTAAACGAGGTGCTCTACCAAACTGAGGTATGAATTTAACCAAAATAATGTAAACTATTTAGTCAAAACAAAAATTACAAAAATGAACTCCAAAGGTTAAGAGTAAAAAATAAATACCATTAAACAAAAAAATCTTTATAATATTTAAATAAATAAAAACAAATGCAAAATGAACAATAAAATCCCCTCTAAATCCTCCTTTTTCCCCCTGTAGGTTCTAGTTATTAACTATATACAGTTGCCCCATCTTCCAACTCATTCATATTGAAATTAGTACTTCAAAACTCACCATTCTTCCCATTTCTATCATTGTTAACAGAAAAAGAAAAAAAAAACTACCTCTCCTTTCTTCTACCACAAACAGAACCTAAAAAAAATGTTCAGAGTTTGAAGAATTAGAGCCAACCTCATTCCAACTTGATGCGTTTTGTGTGAGTTTGTCGAATCCAGTCGAGGCATTCTTCGGCCGTCCCTGAGGGACGAGCAAGCTGCCATGCAAGTATCTTTTGTTGCTGCAGAATATGTAAACGATCAGTACCAGGAAGTTGGCTTCAGTTTCAGTTTCTACTTTCGCTGCAACGGCGGAAAAAACTATAAATCTTATCATTGGACCTATTTACTATATACACATATTAGTGGCATTTTTAATATTCCATTTTAATGCGATATATTAGAAATTTCGATTGACCGACACCTAATACCAATATCAGATCCTTTATTTTATGAAAATATCAACGTATCGACATTTTACGACTGGTAAAGCCTTCACTTGAAGGTTCACTCACCCATTCTCTGACAAGTGGTCCTCCTGTTTTTAGCTGCAAAATGTTCATAATCTCCTTGCCATTCACTAGAGGTTTCACCTCCCACACGTTTTCCAGACCTGAAAGCCACAGGGAACGGGAGCGCGCCCAAGGAGAGGGATTAGATGCCACAGATCGACAAAGAAAAATGACGTTTACCATAATACTTTGCTACAGGGTTCTTGGATTCACCTAATTTAACAATCTCATTGTAAGCAACGTCGAATAATTCTTTTCGCCTCTCCAGTTCAAAGTGCCTGTTTAACAGATCTTCTGTATAATCTACATTAGCAGGATATAACAAAGTGGCCATCAATAAAGCTACAGGCCAGAAGTCTTTGATTTCCCGCAAAAGAAGCCCTGCGGAGGAAGAAAAATGTGTTGACAAAAACAAGGCATTGGAACAAGTTTTTCCTTTTACCCCCTATGGTTAGATAGGAGAGGCCAACAGAAGATTCAATCAAGGGATTAGAAGTAGATCATTGAGGTTATCCTCAAAGTCCCAGCGAAAAAGCACGTTAACTCATAATATTCTTCCATTTCCCTGTTATGGATAACTTATTTTTGTTTTTACTTTTTTCTATATCCGTGAGTTTGCTTAAGATGAATGAATAGGGAGAAAATCAAATTATGATAATTACTAGACAAAAAAAAGAAGCTTATTATGAATCTACATTCTAAGTTCATGGAAATGGCTAAATTTACTTTTAAAGATAAAAATTACGCAGAATCTTGATTGTGAAGTAATTGCTAAAATTTGTTATATATAGAGTTTTATACAATACCAGTCAATACTCGAATTCTTGACGTAACAGGAACATCTGCACATTCAACACCCCAATCAACTCCATTCGGTTGGATTTCCTCTTTTGATGCAAGAATCGGAATCAAGGACAAAAACTTCTCCAAGGCCTGATGTACGTTAACAACCTACATGGGAAAGATGTAATCTGTTAACCAATCTCTGCAGATTCAAAATTCGTGGAAGTGTGAAAACTCAGATATATATAATCGTAAAGGTCAGAGTATAACTAACTGTATCAGCATCGCTAACTTTCCGCTTGAGAGAATCCCGAAAAATATAGTTGACAACAGGAATCTGCAGAGCAGAAAATCCAGATTTTGAGGCAGCCAAGAATATTTTCTTTATGTGAAAAATAGATTTTATTGAGAAAAAAATTAGAGAATACAGAGTGCAATACAAAAAGGAAAGTCCAAGGCAAAAGGATCCAACAAGCTACAAGAACAAAAAAAAAAAAAAAAAGCTCCAATTCAAAAGAATGAGAGATAAAGGATAATCTCACTAAAATCCTAGTGATGGAAGCCCAAAGGAAAGCATGGAACTTAGTCAAGCCCCAAATCTCTCTCAAGGAAACTTCCTTATCACTAAAGACTCTCTTTTTGGATTTCTTATCTTATAAATACAATATAACATGACTACATGAGTTAAACATTAAATACCAAGATAACTTTAAATGAATACCTTTTTGGATTTCTTATCTTGAAATGTGAATTTTCTGAATGGAAGGAAGAGAGCAGCATACATAGAGAGCCTTTTCTGTTCTTCCTAAAACTCAAATGTTAAAGATTAAAATTAGTAAAAAATAAATAACTAAATAAATACCAATAATCAATTTATCCATGTAAAAGAAATAAAGCCATCGTAGGAGAAACTGCAAGGACATGCAACTGCAACATTCGATAGCCTTTTCACTTACATTAAAGGTAAAGCATTTTATTAGATGAATGAGGCTCCACGTAGCATCCAGACAAGCAATGCAAAGCCTAACAAAAGGGGTAACCCAAAAGCATGAGAGAGAGAGACCAAGTTTCTGAGGCTGATTATAAGGCATGTGGTAAAAACTAAAATGATATATATTCATTAAAATAAGCGTCAATTTTCTTTCTTTGAAAATTAAGTATAATGCCGAGTATACAGTATGAGGTGATAGCACCCAGAGTATCCGCTTTCTGACTTCTCAGAATCTTATGCAAATATTATGCAACATGATACGCTTAGCAAACTACCTAAACAGCTTTTTGGCAAGAAGAATTAATCATACCTATTACACACCTCAGATATTTCAAGTTCAGTGTTAGAAGGAAGAGTAAAGACGGTCCAAAATAACGTCAATTCACAAATGTAGCTCATTGCTTTAACTGGTTGATTCCCAGCAACCATGAGGTCAATCTACGTAAAACAGCAACTAAAGCTGAGTGAAGTTTTCTGAACAGAAAGCTATATTGGACTTGAATCATTCATCAGAGAAACCAGAACATGAGATATTCAATATGAAACGCACTTCAACTCCAATACGTTCTCTGCTAATCTTAGCAGCAAGAGCAGCCTTTACTTCTTCACATGCAGCAGCCTCTTTAAGTTCTTCGTCTAATGTGAACTTAAATCTTGCACCTGAAATAATGACAAGGGAGTAAAGTAAGGGGAGATATACATTAATGTATCCATGACAATACAAAAAATCATGGATAAAGTAAACATCAGCGCACCATAAATATCAAGTGTAAATACAGATCTTGGATCAGAAATAATAGACTCTACTTTTCCAGTGAACAATATTGATAGATGATTGGTGTACGTAATTATAGAGTGGAAATTAGGAAAGTGTACCTCACTGAACAAATATAAAGAGACAGTGGAAAGAGTAAAAAGTAGTACGGAATGATAATAAATTTCACTCTAAGACCAAAATAATGCAAAACGCCTGAGAATTGATAGAAATTTAGGAAAGAAGAAGAGAGTGAGGAAGAAGGTAGACAAGTTGAAAAAGCACCAACTAAACCAATTAGAGTGATCATAATTAGAATAAATATCTCCATCCCTAATATCATACCATCATCTACAACGACATCAAGTTCTCAAAAGATATATTAGATTCCATATGTTGGTACTATTTCACGTAAGCCATGTCGCATGCCTTCAAAAGAATTTCTTATCTAAAAACAGAGAATACAAGTAAGCCATGCCACTTAATAGAAATAAGAGTTCTAAACAATGCCAATTTACCCACGTACATAGAGGAGAAACAAATAGAAGAACGGATGCTAGGTTCATGTAACTATTAAGACAAATAAATAAATATAAATATAAACATACAGAAACGTATGGCTCGAAGTACTCGGAGCGGATCATCCATAAATGTAGCTTTAGCAGGTAAAGGAGTCACAATTTTCCCAAACTTTAGATCCGAAATGCCTGCAACGTAAGGTCATATAAGGAGGGGAGAAATAAAGAAAATGAACAATTAGTACTCTTTTTGGACCTCAATCATCAAGGAATTTTGTAACATTCAATCATATTTTTATGCATTAAATAGTCCATTTCATCTCTTATTCTTTTGATAAGAAATGAAAGTTGGTTTCTTTTTCAAAATAATAAACAAATAAGTTCTTGACATGGATTTATAAATGAAAGTAAATCAATACAAACCTCTTTTGGTAAAATCTTCAACTGAACTCAAGTTGATGTTGTAGAACAAGCTTTAAAAAAAAAAAAAAAAGGGAGACCAGCATTAATATAACAAAACAAAATATATAATCTTGAAGGAAGATAGCATCTACAATGGGCTATGTGATAAGGACACATACCTATTGATAGTTAAATCCCTTCTATATGCATCCTCTTCTGCTGTCCCAAACTTTTGCTGTGAGGTTAAATCAACGATTAACTTTCATGCATATGACATAAATTTAGACAGAACATGAAGCATTAATTATACAAAATGTTGCAGATTACATGATTAAATACAAAAGTTTTATGAAAGGTGCCTGAGTAAGCACTTGCAAACCTAACCATAATTCAGCCCAAATTTCGTAATTGAGGAAAATTTCTACTCTAAAAACCAGTCATCTTACTGACCAAAAAGACGCTATTCTTACAGTCTCAAGTAGAAAACTTTTGTCTCCATAAGAACAAATATTGACAATTAACGGGGAAAACACATGGTCCAAAAAACTTAAGAGTTATTCATCCTACAACATTTGACATTTTAGGACATTGGTCTCCCAGGTCAATGCCCACTAAAACTTTTATCTATATTTTTAAGGACAAATGAAATTTACCTTTTAAACCACAAAATATGAATGCGAAAATTAGACTGTACGCACAAAACAGAAAATGATTACATACCTTAGTAGGAATACGGCTATTCTCACTGTATTCCTCACACCTCAAGTTTACGAAATCAATCCACATATCAAAGATACGCATCCTTGCTGTTTCTAGATGTTTAGATTGGTCAGGGTTACTGTTAAAATATAAATGGAAGTTAGGAAATGCATCCAAACAATTCATAAAACCCAAAAATCATAAAAAAGCATGCGGTTAAGACATATTATTTTGTCAGTGACTTCATACAGTGAAAACAAGGCCACGGCATAACAAACTTGAAAAATTAAAATGAAACTATCTCGTACTTCAATAAATTTTTCCTCCTAATCCAATGTCCTCTTCAGTACTCCTCCTTGTTAGCATATCTAATAATCTTGAAAAGCGCAAGCACCAATAGATTATGAAAATTATGATTCAAAACACCAGCCCAAGACCAACAATTGAGATCTACAAACACACAGTAAAACGGAAAACGATAAAAGTTCATCTTTATTATCTACAGAGATAAAAATTAAGGGTGAGCATGAACGTTAGTTTTAAGTACTCAACAGAGTGAATGGCACGAGATTCTCATACCATGGAATAACAGCGACTCCTTGCGCTTCTTCCCCAACTGTCAACAAGTACTCTCTAACCCTGTCCACGAACTCGCTACCCAACATATTGTCTAGAGCGATGTCAATGTCGTAACAATCTTTCCCGAGAAGCTGCAGAAACAATAATCCAGAAAATCATCAAAAACACGATCAAATTAAAAAATATCCAAAACCCCACTGAATTGTTTAAGCAAACAAACAACAACATACAGAATCCCAGAGAGAATTAGAGAGAAGGACCTTGTCGCGAACCCAACCGCCGGCAACACGAAGCTGGGTTTGGAGATTGAAGTGGCGAAGAGTCCCGAGAAGCCTATCAAAAATCTTTTCCTCGGTTTCAGTGAGTTCAATCTTCTCTTTCACTTGAACCACCGGCTTCATCGTACAGATTGACGACGCCATTGCTTTCGGATGCAGAATCAACGGGGCTCTGCTTCTGGTGATTTTAGGGGCGCCGAGAGAAGTCGAAAATTTGGCGATGGAACTGCGGCGAGAAAGTGGTGGGAGAATGATGGCGCTGAGTTTCAGAGCTGTTCTGAAAGAGAGAATCACTCTCATGGCTTTGTAGAAAGGAATTGGAATTCCATGGCCGCTCCCTCGAACCTCAAAACTACGCTACTGCTTCTCCCGCCCGGTCTCTAATTTTCAACCTCTTCTAATTTTGACTCCAATTATCCTTAGTAAATGTTAAAAATAAATTTCAAAAATATTAAATTACGATTTTTTTTTTTTTGAGAATCTTAAATTAAGAATTGAGATAATTCAAAACTTCAATTTGGTCTAGTTGAACTTATCATTGTCAGTCTCAACGTAGCTAATTCGTTAAAGTATATATGACACAGTCAAAATTAAAAGAATCAAATTAAAATTAAACTTGCCCCAAAAAAAAACAACATTAAAATTCTCATTTGACCTTACAATTTGTTTTTTTAATGATGTTACATATTTCACATTTATACTAAAAATAAAACCACAACTAAAAAAAGAATAGTGAATGTTTTTTCTCAATTTCAAACCATCTTTAAACTAAAAAAAAAAAAAAAGTAATTATTGATTTAAGACTTATTTTGATTCTAAATTTTCATGTTTTTATCTCTAAATTTTAGAATATACTATTTTAGTCTCTAAAACTTTATATAAAGAATTATTTTTGTCTTAATTTGAGAATCTATAAAGTTTATGCCAACCAAAAAAAAAAAAACTCTCTAGCTTACATTAACCAAATACCAAAGTAGATCAGAGAAAAAAAACACACTAAAAGTGTTTTATAACCAATAAAAAAAAAGTAATTACGAAAACTTACAAGAAGAAAATACATTTAAGTTTAAAATTTCTCCAAGACCTTGGCAAAAAATATATAATTAATTAATTAATTAAAAAAATCTCTAGAAGGTAATATAACTTATACCCCCAACTAATTGTAATTAAACAAATAGATTTTACTCTCATTACTGTATGATCTTACTACCTACATCCATTTTCTTATACAGCAACTCACAGCAAATAAACAGCGAGAGTGGGAAAATAGCAAACAAGAAAACTGGATGACCTTCAAGCATTTCTACCACCCTTTCTGCTCACTGCGTTGCAAACCCGGCACGGCAGCGTGTCGAGACTTGCAGCCCGTGTCCTTCCATAGTTGCCCAACGTGCCACATCGTCTCCAAGCATGGTACTCGGCATAAGCTACCGGGTCATCTGCGAGTCGTTTCACATAAGAAGCCAACTCTTCCAAAGAGCTGAATTTAGATCCATCAATTATAGAATGTGGAGGGACAAAGTCCCACACATTAGGGGCACCGAAATAGATCGGAACCGAGCCAGAGTCAAGCGCGTAAAATAGCTTCTCCGTCACGTAACTCTCGGTCATCGTGTTTTCAATTGCGAGAACGAATTTGTAATGAGACATTGCACAATGCAAGTGATCCCACCATTTTGGGGTGACATTGGCATCATTTGCACATTCAGGGTACATAGAAAGGGCCATATCGAGCCCGCCTACATTGTTCAAGCACTTGCCAAATGAATGGTGTGGGAGCAAGCTTAGAAGCTTCCTTGCGAGCTGATTTCGTTGGGGAAGACAACGGGACGACGACCAATAAACAAGTGTATCCTAAAAAAGTTTCAATATTTTATCACGTTCATTGTAAAGCACGGGAAAGACGAGAGAATCGGTGGAGTTGCAAAGGCAAGAATCGGATGGGAAACCAGAAAACTCACATTGTTTTTAGAAGAAGATACATGATAGTTTCGACCGTTATGGAAGAGTGCTCCTGCATAAGTTGACTGAACATCATCTTCTGCATGATAACTAACAAATAGATCCTCAAAACCCGAGCGCTTCCGACCAGACTCAAGATCCATATATATGCGAAGAGGATCTCCCTTGCGCCTCTAACAAACATTAAAAAGAACAGTGAATTAAATTGGTCCAACTACGACATGACAATAACCATGACCAAGGAGTTGGTACCGACCACATTGTCAAGTGTAAAATAATGAAGTATCAAAGAGGAAGCTGACAAGGTGTATCATATGAAATTATGTACGAAGGGTATTTACTAGGATTAGAATCACAACAAATTAGCTTACAGCAGTTCCACCCTACAATAACCTGGCACATTCAGCGTACATGATGGTAGAGAAAATCTATTCTACTATCTATGGATTCATTTCGATTTTCTTTTCTCAAAAGTAATATCTGAATAATATCATCCAATAGAACAACAGGTTGAAACAATCCCAAACAACATACCGATATTCAAGTAGATACCCCTTTCGATTTGAAGCTCACAAAATGTTAGCTGCACTTTGAACAGGATGAATTTGTACTATTTCAACAATGGATCCCCGTCTATTTGAATTTTCAGGATAAATATGAAATTTTTTGCCTAGTGGCCATTTATAAACGTGAGTCGATGGTGCATCAGAACTTCCTACCTGCTCGATATCTGTGGTGTCGTGTGGCTGACAAGGCAAAATCTAATTGTTTGTTGAAGTCTATGAATTCCTAGGCAAGAACCAATGCTTAAAAGACGGTTCAATTTCGTAACAAAGAAAACAAAGTAACCCTAATTATGCAATGGTATAGCAGGCCATTGTAACTGAAACAACAAGAACACAGCCACATCAATTGTTCGAATATGATGACAGGAAAGAAAAACAAAACAAAACAAAGCCCTGAATATTTATCCAGTCAAATCCAAAACCCAAAAACCATTAAATTCGAATCCTCTGCAATCTTCATGTTCATTTGAACGATTGAAGAACCGATTTAAGACAAACCATAAGTACTAAATAACAGCTTCAAGGCAGGCCAGGACCCATCAGAACTCAGATCATAGTGTACTAAGTAACATCATCAGCAGTCTCCACTAAATTCGTAATACAAAGCACAAAAAACACTAATAGTGATCTGTTCAAAAACTAAAAACTACTTGCCATAAACTCCTTAATGAAAAACGGCGAAAAACACCAGTAATTCAAGCACTTTGTAGAGATTTAATCCAAAACACCAAGCATTGTTCAATATCCTCCATGGTTCAAGCCATTAGAACGCTCCATCCAAACAGATCATATAGACACAATGAGGCAGAATAATCATCCAAAATTCAGCGGAATGCACTTTCTATTACAACTACCAGAGAGAAAGATCCAGATCTTTAAAAAGTCGGCATGCAAACAAATTGTAGAATTCGAAAAGAATAATGGGCAAAGAATTTGGGGACTAGAAGAATCTACCTGCCGTGGAGGCGTACTGGTCTCGAAGAACAAGGCGTCAGGTTTATCGGCAAGAACAGAAGACTTAGTCCAGAGGCAGCTCAATCCGCAGGAACACGAATACAAATTGTCTAAATTATCGGGAATCCAAGTCCATCCTTTCACCAAAACCGCAACGTGATTCAGTTTCAGCCCCCCGCATTCTGAACCAGAGTCGCCGCTGACCTGTTGCAGCGAAGAAGATGAAGACCTATTGACCAAACCGCCGGAAATTTTATCCCGGAATCGATCACAACCGACCTGAGAGTCCCATTTCTTGAAGGCGGTGATCAAGTCAGAGAAAGGTTCGGAAGTAAACTCGGTTGCTGAAAGATTCAGATCGTCGGCGGCCGGTACGATAGAAGTGGATGCCGGCGGGAATTCGAGGAAGCCGGCGAAGAAGAGGATGAAGAATGCGAAAGCGAGCATGAAGACGACGGCGACGGTGTTGAGGGGCTTCAAGAGCATGGTTGGTCGGAAATGGCGGTCGCCGGCGGGTTTCTCTCTCCGAGGAGAGAGAAAAAAAAAAGGGGGATTCTTGAAACGTCTTCGTGGAGTCGTTGACGATAGTTTTAACCTTACGGTTTACAAATGAATTTTGCGTTTTTCTTATTCAATTTCAATAACCCCAATCGCCATTTTAAAATTGTTCTATTACATTTTTAATACCCTATAATCGAAAAAACCTAAACTTAAATAAATGTTGTAATTTGGACGTATATTGTCCAACACCACCGAGTTATGGTCGCTCAAGGTAACTATACTTTTATACTAAAAATTAAAACATTTTACTTTTATTGTTCGTATATTTTTTAATTTTTGAAAAAAAAAACTATACTTTTATACTAAAAATTGAAATATTTCAGTTGTCCATACATTTTTAAATTTTTGTTATTCTCTTTGAGTTAATTTAAACCTTGAATATTTTAGTTATCAATTTGACTTGTTTAACATTTGCCTGTCAACTACTACAATTTTTTTAATCCAATATGTTGGGTTAGAAAAACGAACTCACAACCTTTCAGTTGAAAATATATGTCAAACGCTATGCTCGCTTTGACACTGAATCAATTTGATTCATCATTGTACATTAAATAAGTATAGCTTAGAAAATTAACCAATAATATGGTTAAGTTAGAGTTTTTTCACGTGACCAATTAGATAAATACAAATTTCATAAATTAAACCTACACAACATATATTATATACTTATATGTATCCAAACATTCAACTTTATATTATTTAACTATTGCACAATCAAACTCAAACAAATCTAATATAAAAAAAAAACAAAAAATACTCAAACAAATCTTAGCTCTCTCTCCAACCTCCATGACACATCAATTATTCCTATACTATTTTTCACTTCCTTTTGTTTATAGCAGCACTTATATATGCATTTAACCTTTGTACAAATATTTTAGAGTTCATATGATACCATTTAAACAAACATTCTCACCAATTTTTTATCAGTTCTGTGTACCAATCTCCATGAACAATCCCAGTTACAACAGCCATCACAACCAGAACTTCTGCAGCCTCAACCACCTTATCTGCAAGAGCTCCTGCTCCGATGGCCAAAAGTGCCGCCTCTGCCAGTTGCCTTCCCTTCGTGCCACTTCCTCCGAGCACAACTCCTTGCATAGCCAGGTAAACGTTGCGTGACACCCGCGAGTATATTATGTCTCCTTCTTGTAAGCTTTTTATCAACATGTTTGCCATCACCTGCTTTCTTGCTTCGAGCTTTCCAGGGTCCGAATCGCGATCTTCAAGGACCCTACCGAGGGCTTCGATGATCTCCAGTATTCCTGCATTTTCCACCGAGTCCAAGAGGTCGCAGAGGCGTTTGGCACATGTCGATAATATACTATCAACTTCACTAGGATTGGAGACCAAACTCTCATGGAGAAGAATCTGACGCATGACCAACAAGCTGGACAGGATATTTACATGTTAAGACTAGATTTTATGGCATATGTTATCATAATCTTAGACACAGGAATGCAACACAAATTTTATTTAGATGCTATTTTAGGCAAGACATTATTTCAGTTAATATGTCTTCCATATATGCCTTCCTTTAGCTTGTGTCAAATAATTTATGAAAAAAAAACTTAAAAAGGCAAAAGACTAAAATGTGTTGCATGCAGAGTCTAGAGATAAAAGTAGAATAAATACGAAAATTTATAGAATAAAATAGGACTTTTAGGACCCATTTGGTAATATTTATGTTTCTTGTTGCTTGTTGCTTGTTCCTCAGTTACTGTTCTAGTTGATCGTTTCTTCTTTTTCAATCAAGAAAAACATAATTGTGTTTTATAACTGTTTATTATTTCTCGTTCTTTCTTTCCTACGAAATCCTTTCTTGTTTTTGTTTCTAAAACCAAGTAAAAATTTTATATGGAAATTAATTTTTTAAATTAAATATGCAAATCTTTTATGTTATATTTAATCCTTGATATGTACTATGCATTTTAGAGGTAAAATGATAAAATAATGTCTTTATATCGGTTTTGAAAAAACTAGAAATAGGAACAAAAACAATAATCTAGAATGCATTATCAAAGAGGAGAAGAAGATACAAAAGAAGGGGGAAAGCAATCCTCAAAGGCAACCGTTAAAAAACAAGAAATTTGATTTTATTATTTCCAAAATTTCGACCCATTTTTTGAACGGTTCTTATAAATAACAAACAAGAAATACTAAACACTCATGTTTTTAAAAAAATTTAAAACGAAAAACAAGAAACAAAATAATGAGATCATTACGAAATGAACCCTTAAGTTGCGAGTTTCACCTACCTGGTAGAAATCACAATGATCCTTTGAAGTCGAGACTGAACAATCCTGAGCCTGGCGAGATTAAGCTTAAGAGTCTCCGGCAGAGTATCACTGGTCAGCCCCCTTATTTGTTTAACCAACTTTAGCAACCCAAGCCTAATTAATAAATCAAGTCTTTCTCCCTTACACTCCGGCTGTTCCTTTCCTAAATACATTAAAGATCCATAGTTAAATCTAATAAACACTACCGTACAAAGTTGGAACAAGAATATGAGCATAAATATGATTACTGGGGTTACCATGGAAACCTGTTCCCAAATAAGATGAGCTGATCTTTGATGGAATCAGACTACTTCCGCCAGCTCGTATGGTAGAGGGCAGGATCTTCGGCTGAGCTCCTGCATTTTCGGTTATAGCAGCCACGGAATCGGTGTGTTCTCTCCACTCCAGCTCCGCATCCAACCGAATGGATGAGATCCATTGCCTTGTGAGGGGTAAAGAGGTAGGTGCATCAGCAGGAGATCCACATCGCTTATAGAATGAACTTCTCAGATATTCCAAACCAGCAGGGCTCTTGATGAGTGGTTCCACCATCCTTAAATGAGCATTTGCTATTTCTTCTTTTAGATTCTGATATCAAATATAGAAGTTCAGTTCAATCAACGTGGTTAAGATATCTAGCATGCATGACCAAATAAATTCCATTTATGAACTTTCTTGTTCAGCAGCAAAGACGGTTGAGACAACGACGAAGACTTCATTCTGAAAATGGGTGGAAGAGTATAAAAGCTATTGCTTCATCTCCTCGAAAGTTACTCAAGAACTCAATTTAAGGAAGGTTAGACTCTAATACTATGATACTTCAAAAAAAAGAAATAATAATAAAAGCATTATTTCGAAAAATGTTTAGGAGATTTCTCACGAGGAAGATGCTGGTTATGGCAATCATAAGTTTAAAGAAATGGATGGGAGAGTGTTACACCTTCTAAAGGATTTAATTCTATCGTCTCTTGCATTAGAGAGTGATGCACCTTTCAAAGGATTTAATCCTATCATCCCTTGCATTAGATTCATACTTGGCTTGGAATTGATATATGACTTTTAAGTAGAATACTCAGAACGTGAGGTATCATATTATATGGAAATACTTGAATAAATGTGGACCTGAATCTGATGTAGAACAAAACGTAGACCTCTGACCATCAAGAGTGCAAACGAAGAATTTGACTTCTCTCCAGAACGGGTAACGTCCCCCAGCTCTTCCATCAACTTCTGGTAACTTGCCTCCATCTCTTTCTCTTTAGCTGGAGCAGAAAGTTTTTGCAGCGTGACTAAACTGAAGTCCAGGAGTTCTTTGAAGTAACCCACACCCAGAGTTCCTGAATTTAGAATCTTCAACCGATAAAGGGATAAGAGGTCAGTCAGAGGGATAATACTTAATTTCTGCTTAATGTGGCCACCAATTGTTGACAAAAAGATTCAACTTAGAAGTACCTGCGAAAGAATTTCAATATCAATTTTCTCAGCAATTTCTGATCTCCAAGATGGAGGAGACATCTCACACAGTTCATCCCTGACCTCCTTCAGAACCTTAATAACCCAGCTGAAATCAGGCTCATCTTGTTCCATAGATTCCATGATGCCATCCCAAAATGCTTTTTCAATTGTCTCTTTCACTTTTGCCTACATGAATGAGTATGTATAAATAGTTAAGATCCAGGAATTACAAAGCCATGCTTCCTTACCTACTTATCATTTACATATTAGGAAGGAAAATGAAATATTTACAAGTGTCAACCTTTAAACTATTTTCAGCCTCAGTGTGAGCATTTGTGGTGACAGAAAGGAAATGGTGATAATCATGGACAATATCGTTTGCAACTAACTCATTCTCAGTGACTAGCATTTGGCTGGAGCTGATTTGTTGTTCTGCAACGTGTTTGAAAGAAGAGAGATTGTCATTTTTACTGAAAGAGGAAGAATTAAAACATCTATCTTCAGTGAGATTATTCATCATTGTAGACAAAGAAGTCAACAAAACATCAGATAAACTATGCATACCTGACTTAGAACTCTCTGCTTGTCGGGACTCCGGTGAATATACAGTATCAAATTCAGAGGAGCTTGACCCTGAAATTGATAAAGAATTTTCTGAACTCCCAAGTCGCTGTAACTTTTCTCTCGGTATCTTCTGCTCTTCACTGGCCTAGCATCAACCAGAGGAGTGCATGTACAATAAACCATTAGCAAAACAAACTAGGAATTTGTTGCTAAAAATGCTTTAGAAACTACTGCCAAAGTGAATTACCTGCATATCATGTGCGATATTACCATTATCACCTTCCAACGTCAGCTTAGAAGTTTGCGCCATAAAAAGCTCCAACTGGTGAGCAACACCTGTCATATTCTTCTCAAAAAATATAGCATCCTTGTCTTTCCACGCCAAATAGTGATGAAGGTAAGAGCACCATCTTTTATCAAATATCTCCAACTGGGATCTAAAAGAAGGTGGTGCACAAGATTGTTGTTGTTGGCCCTCATGAAGGGTCCTCAAGGGACCCTCTAATATGATCTTAGTCAACAACTCAAACTCCTGAACAAAATTTGATGCTGACTCCAGCAATGCATTCTCAAACTCACTCTTCCCAATAAAAACCGTGTCTGGATGCCCCAGTATCATGTAAGCAAAAAGCACAACTTTAGCAGGGTACCTAGATAATTTGAAGGGGCTTTTTGCAGCTTTCCTTTTGCCAATAGTCCCTGACCTACTTGTTTTTGTCACTTGATTTCTGCTTCTACCATGCAATCCAACACGCTTGAGAAGGTGATCTACATCCTCCGTGCTCAATTTATTTCCAGAAGTCGTTATCAAGATCGTATATCGACTCCCTAGACGAACAAGCAAAGCTCTTAAAGTTTGTATGGTTGCAGTTGCATTGATCTTAGAAGCAAGCTTCTCAAATTCCATCGACTTCACAGATTCTACACTAAGATCTAATGCTTGAAATGCTTTTGCCAAAGCAAAAGTAGTTTTCCTCGCATGTACAAAATTCCTCCAGTATCTGAAGATGGTACAGATTGCATTATTTTATTTCACAGGCAAAACAAATAAATAACAACTGGAGGGAACATAAGTTGGAAAAGCATAGAAGATGGACAATCTAAAACAGAATTAATATCCACAACAGCAATAGAAATAGTCGCAATTAAGCTGTACAGTATTACAGAAACCAACGTCTGGAGATTTTCCTCCTTGGATCCTCCTAACTTGTTAAACCATCTTTATGGCCATCTTAAAAGGTCTAAATCTAATGCAATAAAACTATATGAAATCTTTATTTCCATTTCAAGTCCACCAAAGGACAAACCATTTCTTTCTACTCTAACCCATGAAGCCTCAAATTGCTATGCCGAGAAATGAAAGGCCATGCATTAGATTTTACACCTAATAAAACTTACCTACAATTCCAAGCAGACAATCATTTGACAATCTGAGTACAGAAAACAAAGGGAAAATGGAATTTTTTTCTCCCATCATACTTGATTCAATCGGTTCTTAGATAAATAGAAGAGGAAATAACAGGTGTGCATTGACATTCTCCTTTCTAGCTTCAACCGAAAACGTGGCGTTACTTTAATACTTTTCATTTCGTCTTTCGTGAAATCAGTGGAGATGTTTGTGTCCCTATCTTAAGGGACAAAACAACTAATACAAATATGACCTCAGCTGGACATCAACAGCAACAGCAACTAGGCAGTAGGGTATAAATTTATCATATCATGCCACCATTTGTCAGGTAACAATTTACTACCAACTTAAGCTAGAAGACCTTTCCAATGGCTCCTTCAACCCAATCACCCCCTAAATCGTTGATTCTTTCATAAATTCAATCTAAGTATATCCTCATCTATGCCTTACCCACCACCATTAACTTTAGTTGTCAATTAATTAAGTCTCACTTACATGGCCCATTTGTCTTTTCAAGAAAAAAAGAAGTTAGGGGAAGCGATCCAAGGATCAAATGAGAGGCAATATCAAACTCATGTCCAATCGTTTCATTATACCCCCGCGTTGCGCTAAGCTCATTGTTTCGTATCCATCTTTGGAAGGTAAGTGAGTTGAGCATACCATTTGGGATATCAGTCATGTGCAATTAATATCCTAATCTATTAGAGAAAACTGATTTCTTATGAGCCGTAGATACCTACCCTGAAAATGATGGTACTTATTATTGCTACTCAATTATTTCTTACATTGACTTGACAGTCTATGATAGAATGCAAACGCTAAAATATGCGTCCTGTTTGACCTTATCGAGATTTTCAATACCACTGGAAAATACCAAATAACACACAAGCAATCGAAATTAAGACAATTCTATCATCCGAAATGGCTAAATGAGAAAATTTACAATTATAGTCAGCGGGCAACGATAGATTTCAGAAAGCAGTGTTCTAGTACCTTGCTATTATTGTTGATGGGTCTTTCTTAGGCATCCCTTTTGTATTAGGACGAAAAATATCACATAATCTTCTCCTCTGAATCAGATACGCGGCTCTTTGTCTCTTAGCCTATTTACATAAGAAAACAAATTATTCAAAAAATCTTCATGGGAAGAAGGAAAACAATTGAAACGACTAGCAAGCGAGTCAGAACAAATTTCTCTACAGAGGAAATCAAAGTCAAACGTAATTCACACAAAAAAGCCCCTAGGGAAGGTTGTCGCCAAGCTTCTGTTAGATTTTGTTTTGAGGCTAGCCGACAAAAATATATTCTATATCTTTCTTCCAAAATTTCACAAAGTTGAACTATCTTTATCCAGTATGATACTTCATGCTTGAAACTACTTCCAAAGCTAAATAAAGAACAACCATCGGAACAAAAACCAGAAATGTGTATAAGAAAAATAAACCTGACGGCGGAGATCGGCTTTTTGGAGCTTGGCTTCAATCTCTTCGGCAGTAGACGGAGCCTTAGACTCCATAAGACGACGGCGAAGTCTACGAGGCAGCCTAGGAGGAGTAGAAGACGATGCAGACGAAGCCTCACCGTCATTTGCCGGAAAATACAGCGCTACTCCGCCCTTCCTCTCCGTCTCCTCCTCCAGTCCCACAGCCATGGAAAGAATTTGAACGAAGATTCACCAAATTAATTGACTCGAAGAACGAACAATGCCGAGATCGAAGCTTCAGCAATGGAATTCAATCTCTGGCTCTCGAATTCTTTGTCGAAATGCAGGGGATTTCTGGGTTTTCGTTTTCCTGAAATGTTTCAGTTGGCGCATCTGTGTAAGAAAAGAAATTTGATAATGGATCGCGCCATTTCCTTCTGGAGTTTTCCAGAACTTTCGGGAATTTATAGAATTTGAAAACCCGAGAAACAGCTGGATTAAAAATTAAAAAAATAATAATAAATAAGCTGGATTTTTTCATATTTTGCAGCAACTCCAGTCCAGTCGGCCCATTGGGCTAGGTATTTAAATGAAGCTCAAAATTATGGGCCACAACTCCAGTACGGTCGGCCCATTGGGTTACTCGGTATAAGGCCTATGGGCTAGACATTTGAACGCAGCCCAACGAAACGATAAAAGAGTATTTGAAATATTAACATGATATGTCGTAATTTTTAAAAAAGAAAAAAATATATTTTAATTTTATCAGCTAGATCAAAAGTAAGATGAAATAATTGGACTTTTTTTTATTAAAAAATGAAGTGGTTAAAAAAATTGGATTTGAGAAGGGTGAGTTTGACAATACTTTTAGCCATTAAATGTAATTTTTATAATATTTCGTATGTGATTTTGAAATTTAAAAAACGTTTAAAATGCACTCAAAGTATTCGTAAGAGAAGCTTTTCATTAGTTTTATTTTTTAATGTTCGGTAAGATAAGTATTTTCACTCGAAATATTATTTTCAAAAATCATCTCAAACTCGCTATAATTGATATCTACTAATTTTACAAGTTAAATTAGTCAAACTTATACTAGCATTTTGAAATCCATTTCAAAAATTACACACTAACTATAGGTTGAATGTTGACGCACAATTTGGATTTTGGTTGTAATACGAGAAGCTTCAAACGAACACCTACACACAAATAAACTATGCACATCGGTTTGTACTAAATTCAGACACACTCTAATGCCTAGGTCAAACAATAGGTTAAGTAGAGCATTGCAAGAAATATAATTGTGTAATGTACTTCATACGTAAAGGAAATGTGTTCGATATAAGACAAGTGACGAGACACAAAAATTCCACACAATGAGGAGGACAACCGCACTCAAAAGCATAAGTTGTGGACTTTCAAGCATGAATCCAATTGCACGGCTCTCTTTGGATATGCGAATAAGAGGCTAAAAGAATTGGTTTAACATTTACCTAGCTTACATAGACATATATGAACTATCAAATGTCGTACCACCAAAGACTAATGATCTGCGAACGACGTTAGAGTGTCAAAGCCTCTTAATCTTGAGGTCGGATCGACCACTTAACTCTTATGATTTTGGTGGTTATATCAATTCAACCATCTCGACCCCAAGACCTCCTAGACGACACATTCTCTCGATTAGTATTGTTCACTTAAAAGTCTTCTTTCATTGATTTAAGTACAATAAATTCATTTGTAATATTTGAATCTACATATTTTGCTTGAACATATGTATTTAACCTCAATTTCCACGGATCAAAATGTTGTTTTAACCTTAAAAAAAAAAAAATCCCTTCAAAATCTAAGATGGTGAATATGACAAAAAATAGAGATTCGATTGGATCACGAAAGCGACGCGCCTGTGTGGGAACGGAAGGCCACTTGCCCAAAATAATGATGATGGTCAAGTCAACACGAACATAATAGGTTTGTCGAAAGTGGAGTTCACGCGCGTGGCATTTGCCGAGAGTAGCTTTCGCTTATGGGCCCCACCTCCCTCTTTCCTTTCTCGTGCCGTCTCTCTTTTATTTTTTACTTCCGTACATCCACTTCTTCTAGAAAATCTTTCTTTTTTCTCTCTCTTTTTTTTTGCTTTTCCTTTTTGAAATTTAATTATTTTGTCATTTCTTTTATCCTTAATTATTGGGAGGATGATTTTTACTTCAAATTTAATCAAATTCACGTCAACTTTTATTCAACTTTTTAAGTTTATACTCTCAAAGGAAAAAAAAAATCAACTTTTAACTCAACTAACCGATCAAAACAGCTATTTTTAATTTAAAAATTGTGAATTCGAAATCTCATTCTCACGCATTGTAGTAAAAAAAAAACAGAGAAAGAAGAATATTCAATCTTACTTGTTCAATATTTAAACAGTTATAAATTAGCATTAATTCTGTTCATTACTTTTTAAAAATACTAAAAAAAAAATGCTACATTTGGTGGTGGATGTTAACCTCGGTGAGATTGGATTGAATATTTATTTTAGTTGGATTGGGGTATTTCTATGTTAGATTAATTTTTTTTTCTTTTTTCTTGGATATTATATGGTGCATTAATTTTTTTTTTTGTTTGTCACAATCCACTTTCTCTTTTTCCTCTACTTTTTTAGTGGGTTCTTTTCGTTCCCTCTCACAATATTACTTCAATCACAAGAATACAAACACATGAGTAAAAAATGCAACAATTTCCTTTAAAAAAAAATGTAATGTTTCAATACACCTTGAAAGTAACCTCCTCACACGTGGGCCTGCCAACTTTGTGCCAAATGTCGAATTTTACCATGCAATAACTTAGTACATGTAGTTTAAAAATGCATCTGATCATCGGACAATACGTTGATAAATAGGGTTTTAACAAGATTATATAATTACATAGAAAAGTAAGTTTAGAGACTGAAACCGTTACTTTCGTAAGAATTAGGGGACCCGACGTGTATTTTTTTTAACTCTAAAAAAATGATAAATAAAAAGGGAAAACAGGGTTGGGTGTGTTATATTGTGTCGGCCAAACGTGTAAATCATGAGAGAGTGTAATGTGGGTTTTGAATTGATATTGTGATATGAACCCTAAAATGGGGTCCCATGCCCTAAACGAAAAGGGCCATTTTGAATTTGAAAGGTTGTCTATTTCCAGCAATTCACAATTCAGAGATGCTGATGGGCTCCCATTCTCTCTCTCTCTCCTACCTAATGCATGTGCGGCTCATATTTTCAAATCTCATCTTTCTTTCTTTATTATTATTATTATTTATTTTTGTGCTAACTACCGAAAAAAAAGTTGGTAATAGAGAATGGCTCGACTATAAGTTCGAAGGCTCGAGGATGGAACAAAAGATGGGAGACTCAACCGTTTTATGAAAAGAGATGCTACTTTGTTCAAGACACGATTGTCTCACTTGCAAACATATATGGGTGGAATTAACATATTATCAAGAATAATATTGAGCTCTTCAAGATTTAGTACCTTAAATTTTTGGTTTTTTTTTTCTTATCTCTCTCCTACCTATAAAAATTTTAGTTATGCTCAACAAAGGTGCGGATAACTTTTTTTTAAAGAAAACATTTTCAACCCTTCACAACCCTAAAAAAGGAGAGTATTTGATATGATTTTCACAATGTAGTTGTCACTCTCGTAACTATTAAAATATCCATTTTATTTATGATTTAATATTCTAATGGATTCAACTTTTAAAAAGTAAATAGTTCACATATACATACCACACAATTAAAAACTTTAAAATATACTAAATATTTTTTAAAAATTTAGAGATTTATTGAAAGAACTTGCTAGAGACTCTTTAAAGTTAAGAAACCTGTGCTAAACTTGTAATTTGATATTTTATTTAATAAAAGTATATTAGAGGGAAGAATCAATAGGAGCTCATTTTTACTAGTGGGCAACCATAAAATTGTTGATCATTTTTTTTTGGGTTTCTCTAAAGCACTTTTACTTTGGTGTAAAAAATGTCAAATTTTTGGTTGGATTCACCCTTTGTATTGAAGGAAAGGAGAAATAATGGTAAAAATTAACCAAAGCAAACATAGTTCAACGATAATTGGCATATACCTCCAACTACAAGGTTGAGTTCGAGTCCTCTCTCCAACATGTTGTACTAAAAAATAATAATAATAATAATGGTAAGAATTAGTATAAGATTTGAGGACCAATACCTTCTAATTTGCATGCCGGTTTGTTTGTGCGCAAGCATTGAATTTAGGAAGCTTACTCATAAACAAACCATTTTTGTTTGTTACTTTAACTAAAAAAAAAATTGGTGGCCTTAAGTATTTATTTATTAAGGATGCTATGTATATAAGTTATAAATATATATATTCAATATCGATGTCCACATATTTTTTTTACTAAAAAAATCTATTAACTTACTCAATATTTTTTTTTTAATACAACATATTAGTAGGGGATCGAGCTCACAACCACTTCATTTCTAACAAATCTCTGTACGTCCAATTTTGTATCTAATAAATTCCTAAACTTTTAATTTTATATTTTGTATCTAATAAATTTCTAAACTTTTAACTTTTATTTAATAATTCAATGTTTAATTTAAAAAAAAATGTAGAGATCTATTAGACGCTCCATTACAAGTTCAGATTTTTTTTAAGTTAAGACTTATCAGACACAATGTTTAGAGGGAAACTTATAGTTTAACCTAAAAATTCTTTTAGCCTTTGCTGTTAGCTTTTTATTAAATATTATTTTATATAAATTAGAATAATCATGAAACCTGACCCATCCCAACTTCAAAATTCAATTTTTTTTTTATTGTTATAGACATTTATTCATCTATAAATAGAAAAATACATGAAAATTAATGACAAAAGACAAATTATTTGTATGCAATGGGACTAAAATAGAGTGTAAATTTTAGAAACCAAATAAAATTGTCATGAACATTCATCCACAAAGATAGAATTTAAACCCAAAATTGAATTCATAATAAATATTTTTAAAACTTCACCAGTTCTAAAAATTTTAATAGAAGTATATATAAGGGAAGTAAACTTACATGGCAATCATAAGAATTTTGATCCAATCCTGGAGATCCTGCCAGTCTGTCACATGTAAATTTTAGAGAAATAAAATAAAGGAAAAAAGGATGGAATAATAATAACTCGAATCTCCAATGATTGGGCTGAAAGAGAGGGTAAAAATTAAAAATTAGGTTTTCAGAAAAATTCGAAGCTATGGTGATCCCAAAATTGATAATTCCACTCGCAGTCACAATATACAGCCAGGAGGAATCTATGGTTGGATGGTGGAAGAAGCCAAGTAGGGAGTGGAATTAGTATGTTCTGATCCAAAAATGGGACAGGGAAAAGTTTGTACACTTTCCCCAGTCAGACACCAAAACTGTGACCAAATAATCTCAATCTGCATGCAACTTGATTAATCTCACGAGACAATAACCCTACTATATTTAGAAAACATATAGAAAATTAATCCCTAAGTGGTCATCATGCTTTCTGATTTACCTTGGTTTTTATGGACCAATGAGCAAACTCGTGATGATATCTCGAACAAGCTTGCATGTACCTCGATTAATCTCACGAGACAACCGTCTGACCCTGTTACAGTTGGTTGCCAAGAAAACATATAGTGACCAACAGGGACCAATGAGCCAACCAATGATAATTAGAACTATGACCAAATAAATTCTCTCTGATTTCTGTAAACTCTCTCTCTCACCCATTCAAAAGCACTTCACAAGTCACAGAGTTGGTCTCTCTCTCTCTATGCTCAAGTTTCCTTACCAGTTTGCATGCTTCTCTCTCCTCTCTCTCTCTCTCTCTGCTGTCTGTAAACTTTCTTTCTCACCAATTCAGAAGCACTTCACAAGTCACAAAGTTGGTCTCTCTCCGACTCTCTCCTCTGTATTTTCTCTCTCTACTCTCTCTCACCTCTCTTGTTTTTCATTATGGTGACGTCCCACCAAAGTGAGTAGCAAAACCAAGGAACTTCACTTCTACAGTTCTACTTATAAGTTTCTTTCGTTTCTTCTATAATCCCCAGCAAACCAAACACACCCTTTTCTCAAGACACCCTCCATCACTTTCCCTTCTAAGAAAAGACCGAAAAAAAGAAGGAAAAAAAGAATCTCTCTGGTGAAAGCTTCTTGCTGTTCTTCCCTGAACAAGAAAAAGAATTGTTGACAGAAACCCACAAAGATTTTTTTGTTCTTCCTAAGATGTTTGTTTCTTGGGTAGGCTCTGATTGGCTAAACTATAATATTTTGTCATTTGTGAGCATTCTTTTATCTGTTTGAGGAGAAGATGGGAACTAGTAGTGGATTTCATGGACTTTCTGGCTGAGGAAATGGTAGAGATGAACTAACTTCTCCAGGTAAGATTTAAAGATTAAAAGCACTACAAAAAAGAAGTATTGGAAGAATCTGAAATCTGGGTTTAGGTTTGATTTTTGAGTTTGGGTTTGAAATAATAATTTCAATATGGAATGATATCCAAACCTTTTTTTTTCTTTCCACTTTCCTTCCGTAATGAGCAATAGTTTTGCTATGAGTGGCTTCTAAGTAAATCTCTTTCTTCTTTTCCACTAATCATGAGAATCATTTACCAATTATGAAGAAAAATCCACTGCAAAAGTGACATCCTAACATAACATCACCCTCTCTTGTTCATTTTCCTTCTTTTTGATTCTTTTCTTTTCATCCAAACAAACACACTGATTTTGTGTTCTATATTTCAAACTTTTAGAAGCTTTTGAGTTTGATGATTTGGAACTGTTTGTTTTCCTTTTCTCTTATATCTGATGTTTGGAGTGTAGAGTAACCAATCCGCTGCCAAGAATGGAGTTATCGTTCGAGCGGATTCAATCATCATATATATTCTGAGGATTCTCAACTCCTTGAGTTGGCATTTTAGACTCGTTTCCAATGGAGAAGTTTCCTGGTTGTTTCCTCCACTCTCTGTTGATCTTTCTCTTCATTTTGAGTCTTTTTGTTACAAGTCTGCCTCTTCCGACCGAGACTCAAGCGTTGCTTCGTTTCAAAGAGAATCTCAAAGACCCTTCGGGTTTTCTTCATTCTTGGGTTGATTCTGAATCCCCTTGTGGATTCTCCGGGATTACTTGTGATCGGGTTTCTGGAGAAGTCGTAGAAATTTCCTTGGAAAACAAGTCGCTTACCGGTGAGATTTCTCTGTCAATTTCTGCTCTGCAAAGTCTCACAACACTTTCATTGGCCACAAACCACATTTCTGGGGAGCTCCCCTACCAACTGATCAACTGTAGCAATCTTAGAGTACTGAACCTTACAGACAATGAAATGGTTGGTAAGATTCCGGATCTTTCTCAGCTGAGAAAATTGGAGGTTCTAGATCTATCAAGCAACTTGTTCTCTGGCCAATTCCCAATCTGGGTTGGAAATTTAACTGAATTGGTTTCTCTGGGTCTTGGTGAAAATGATTTTGAGGCTGATGAAATACCAGAATCTATTGGAAATCTGAAGAACTTAACTTGGCTATATCTAGCAAATGCACAACTGAGAGGGGAAATACCAGAGTCTCTTTATGAACTGAAGGCATTACAGACACTGGATCTTTCAAGGAACAAGATTTCTGGGAAGATCTCCAAGTCAATATCCAAGTTACAGAATCTGAATAAGCTTGAGCTTTTTGTAAACAATTTGACTGGAGAAATCCCACCAGAGATTGCAAACCTTACCCTTCTGCAAGAAATCGATATTTCTGCAAATAGTTTGAGTGGGGAGTTGCCTGAAGAGGTTGGGAATCTGAGGAATTTGGTGGTTTTTCAGTCGTATGAAAACAACTTCTCTGGAAAGCTTCCTGAAGGGTTTGGAAATATGCAAAATCTTAGTGCATTTTCAATCTATAGGAACAAGTTTTCAGGGGACTTCCCAGCGAATTTCGGCCGATTCGCACAGCTCAACAGCATTGACATATCGGAGAATAAATTTTCTGGGAACTTCCCCAGGTTCTTGTGTGAGAATAGGAAGCTGCAGTTCTTACTTGCTCTGGAAAATAGATTTTCAGGGGAGCTGCCACTTTCCTTTTCTGAGTGCAAGACACTGCAAAGATTAAGAATCAATAATAATCAAATGTCTGGAAAGATTCCAGATGGGGTATGGGCTCTTCCTTATGCAAAAATGATTGATTTCAGTGTTAATGAATTCAGTGGAGTCATATCCCCAAACATTGGGTTATCTACCAACTTGAGCCAATTGGTTTTGCTAAACAATAAGTTTTCAGGTAAGCTTCCACCAGAGCTTGGCAAGTTGACAAACTTAGAGAGGCTTCACTTGAGTAATAATGACTTCTATGGAGAAATACCTTCTGAAATTGGTTTTCTGAGGCAACTTTCATCATTACATCTGGAAAGAAACTGGTTGAATGGATCAATCCCACTAGAGATTGGCAATTGTGAAAGACTGGTGGACATAAATTTTACTCACAACTCTTTAAGTGGGAGCATTCCATCTTCATTTTCATTCATCAGCTCTTTGAACTCACTGGATCTCTCAAGCAACAAACTTACAGGTATAATCCCAGAGTACCTGGAGAAAATGAAACTAAGTTCGATAGATTTGTCGGGAAATCAGCTGTTTGGAAGAGTTCCTTCCAGTCTTCTGGCAATGAGTGGAGACAGAGCATTTCTGGACAACAAAGAACTCTGTGTTGATGAAAACTACAGAGAAAGGGTAAATACCAGTCTGAGTACTTGTACTGGAAAACATAGTCAGAAAGGGGTGTTTGAAGATAAACTTGTGTTTTTCAGTATCATAGTATCCATATTGGTTTGTGTATTAGCAGGGTTAGTGTTGGTAAGTTGTAACTACTTGAAGCTCGGTGGGACTGGCTTAGAGATCAGTAGTCCGGAGGGGGACCGAGAAGGGGCTCCAGAATGGAAAATCGCATCATTCCATCAAGTCGAATTTGATGCAGATGAAATATGCAGTTTCGAAGAAGATAACTTGATAGGGAGCGGAGGAACGGGAAAAGTTTATCGGTTGGATCTGAAGAAAAATGGCGGAACAGTGGCGGTTAAGCAACTCTGGAAAGGAGATGCAATGAAGGTTTTGGCAGCAGAAATGGAGATTTTGGGGAAGATAAGGCACATAAATATATTGAAGCTCTATGCCTGCTTAATGAGAGAAGGATCTAGTTATCTAGTTTTTGAATATATGGCTAATGGCAACTTGTGTGAAGCACTTCAAAGACAGATCAAAGGTGGACTGCCTGAATTGAACTGGTTTCAGAGGTACAGAATTGCCTTGGGAGCAGCAAGGGGAATTGCTTACTTGCACCATGATTGTTCACCACCTATAATTCATAGAGATATAAAATCAACAAACATACTTCTTGATGGAGATTATGAACCAAAAATTGCAGATTTTGGGGTTGCAAAAATTGCAGAGAAATTTCAAAGTGTTTCTGAGCACAGCTCTCTTGCTGGCACTCATGGTTATATTGCTCCTGGTGAGTTTTATATCTTTCCAATCAACCTCCCCTATTTTTCTTCCCAGTTTCTCTTGCAATACTTTTCAAATTTTCTAGCCTAACATTCATATATTAGTAATTTTATTCTGATCAACTAGCCATCTTTCTTACAAAGGCTCAACTTGTTTGTGCTCTGTTATAACTCTCAGATATAGATGTATTGTGCATGTTGTTCAACATTATAAGATTCAAGTTGAAAATGAAGAACTAATTCTGGTAACAACTTTCTTCTACAGAGCTAGCATATACTCCAAAAGTTTCAGAAAAGAGTGATGTGTACAGTTATGGTGTGGTGCTACTAGAATTAGTTACCGGAAGGAGACCGATCGAAGATGAATATGGAGAAGGAAAAGATATTGTGTATTGGGTCTCAACACACCTCGATGACCGTGAAAACGTCCTCAAGCTTCTAGACATCAAAGTTGCATCAGAAGTCGTCCAGAACAACATGATTAAAGTCCTGAAGATTGCTGTACTTTGCACGACAAAGCTTCCATCACTCCGCCCTTCAATGAGAGAGGTAGTGAAGATGCTTTTAGATGCTGATCCTTACTCTTCGTCAATGTCCCTGAACAACAGTTCAAATAAAAACATGAAGGATTTTGTTTAGTTCATCAATGAGAATGTAAGATTCGGTCATTGCCGTAATGATCAAAGTACTCAGGATTTTTGCGGTTGCTATCAGAATCTTTGGCCATCGTACATAAGAGCAATGGCCTGTATCCTGCTCTGGAGATCTCTCGTGAATTCAGACCTTAGCATAAAACTAAGGATAATATATTTGTAGAGCTCATCAAATTAAGTGTGTATAAGATAACTTTCTTTTCTGAAGACTACCATAAATCGTCTTCCTTCCAATCTAAAAAACAAAGTTTCTGCTATAGCAACTATAATGATGCTGTCAAAAACATGGTCCAACTTTCAAGTTGGAATTGTGTTGTCAGGAAATTTTCGAGTCTCAAGAGAGCAAGTGAAATCTATGGTGCCCTCGATGAGATCACTGTAACCAATAACCATAATGACCAAAAATAGAAGAGATCATGCTGCGTGTGGGAAACAGTCTCAGATGCTGCTTTTCAACAATTTGCACCCTACCCTCCCTGCCTGCAATGATGGCATTGAGAATATCTACCGGCCTGTTTGCAACAACTTTGTTATTTGTTTGCAATTCTCACAAACAGGTTTCTTTGATTTGTAACACACTTTTGGAAACGTTTGTTAGATCCTGTACATCCTTCCCTTCTGCACAAGGAGCCCTTTTTCCCCTGCAAAGAAAAGAAGAGACAGAAGCACATGGGCAAGAAATTGGAGAAGACAGAGAAGACAAAATGACAAGAGGTCTTGTTGGGTGTGTATATTGAGATTGGAGGAAATAGATACCCTTGAATATCTTCCTGTTGTGTTCTGAAAATGTTTACAACCATAGATCATTGACTAAACCCACCGCCAAAAAGTGTTAAAGCTGAACTTTGGTCCCTCAAATAATATTACACATCCTTTATTTTGGTCTCCAAAATTTTCAACTAATATCATATTCCTCCTAATTTTAGAAAAACTCAGCTTGCTGAAACAGTAGGAGCAAGAGATTTACAGAGAAAAGTAGAAGTTTTGGTTTGTGCTTTAAGTCGCAATTTTATTCCAAAGGCAAACACTACATTGAATTGGAGTCCTCAGTAATAAGACAGGCATATTAAGGTTAGAAGGTGCCAAACACTACATTTAGTTGAGTCCTCAGTGCTAAGCCAGGGATATAAAGGTTAAAAGGTTTCTCAACTATTTCCAATTTAGCTCAAGCAAACTTTTTTTTTTTAAAATAATACCAAACTGATAATTACAAAATTCCTTAGGAACCGATCCACAGGGAAGTATTAAATTAAACATAAAGGGATGCTCAAGCAAACATGTTACACTCATAAGAACAATAATCTCAATTTATATAAAGATTGCGAATTAACAGTTGATGATAGGTAACGATCGATTAATCATTCACTTAATGCATCACATTTTGCACCACACTGACATTCTCTCCATAGCCAATCATCAATCCAGTTCCACTAAGTGTCTACCATCGAGAAAATCAAATATTGATCCTATAAATTCATCACTCTTCCTTAAAATTACAATTCATTCAATCAATCCACTGATATTGCTTCATTGGGTACGAAGAAAGTGAATGCAGTACTGTTTATTCTCATCTCAAGCTTTCGCATCTCAAGCCACCACATAACTACATAATGATATTTGCACATTTTCATTGCTTCTGTACAAAGCCATAGTAAAAATGTAAAAATAATAGATAAGGGCCACCTTACCCACCCACCGGAAGGGGAAAAATGATAACAAAAAAATTTCCATTAAATGAGTATGTGATCTCGCACTTAAAAGGGACCTAACCATGCTGCACAATTATCTATGCGGCCAGAGATTTTATAGCAGCCTTCCGTTGCTCAATAAGTCCGGATAGCAGTCTATCTATTTGATCAAATACTTCTGCTTTGGGCGCATTTCCATTCACCTGAAAGGAGGAAAACAGTTCTCCAGTATTACAGTACTGATGAATTAATGCAGAATGACCAAGTTAGCTGATACTTACAATAAAAATCAATAATTTTCCTGCCTTTCGATTTCTTTTAGGAAAGTCAAAGACATTTGGCTAGCTGGAACATTGTTTCTTCCCTGATAGTTGGGAAGTATCACTTTAGGCAAAGACCTTAGGAATGGTTCCTTATTAGCAAAGTCGAAGTGGCAGTTTTCAAGGAAGTTCACCCTAGGACGTGAAACTGGCTGTATTACGTATGAGCAGAGATGAGTATGGTTGGTCGACAAAGAAGCCTCTATGTAGATGTTTTTCAGCCCTTGTATTTCCACGGCTTAGCCAACTTGTTGAGGAGAGACTTGATTTTGAATTGAAGGATGGTCAGAAAAGAACTTTGGGACGACTATTCAGTTGGTCAAAGCATGCTTTGACTCCTTTTTCCCCACCATTTGCTGTGGTGGATTAGATGCTTGAGTCTATTTGTGGTGTGCTATAATCCTAAGGTCAATGGCCTAGATTTGAAATCTGTGTGTTTTAAAATCCTAGGGTCACAATTTTTGTGTGATAAAAATCCTAAAGTCATAATTTGTGTGTGATAAGTTCTTCTATTAGATGGAGGCGAAGAATGATCTAGAATGCCACAATAGTCTCTAAAGAAAGTGTCATGAGTGGAAATTAATCAATTGCATAGTGTCTTCAGTTCAGTATTCAGATTCTCGAGTAAAATAGAGGCATTTACCAGAGACCTCTTCCAGAAGTTGAAAAAATCGACACCTGACTTAATACACAGCTACATTTTTCTTGTTCTTTTTTTATTCCTCCTTTTCTGTCTGCCCCAATGAGGGAAGGGTGTGGTGGTGGGTGGGGACTAAATTACATACCTTAACTGTTACATCTTGATACATTGAAAGAACATCCTCCAGATTCTGGTGATGAGTGTGCAATCTTAACCTCACCTGAATAAAGCCAAGTCCAGGGGAACATGGTCAATATTTCATCCATGTAAGTGCTCGGCAACATTTAAAACTAGAAGATAGAGATCAAGAAGATTGCCCAAGAAAGATCTAAACAAAAACTTCCGAAATACACATACCACTATGGAGATTGATTTGAAATGAGATACCTAATTAGATATAGTATTAAATAAAATACCTTTTCTTCAGTGTCATCAAAGCGCTGTGTAAGTCTGGCAGCAACCTCTTCAGTGTCAGGAGGAGAATACTTTAAGTGATATATCTTACCAGTAACAGGATCCAGTCTTCTTCCAACAACTCTCTCAACAAGAGATTCTTCGGAGACCTACAATAATAAGTGGAGGTTATTGTAAGTTATGGTCCACAAGCTTTGATGGGATGTTTGTTAAGAGTATATAATAAAAGCTGTAATCCCATTAGCGTACAATTCACAAAATGTAGTGACATTTTCCTAAAAGCTATGCTAATCCACTAGACATCAAACACGCAAAAATTCAAAATCCCACAAATGAAGATCATATTTGCATATGCAAATGCAATCAACCAGCCAACATTAAATTTCGTTTTTTTATTTCTTTTCCAGGTAAAAAACCAATTATACACAAAGAACAACCAGTACTGAGTACCATTCCTCTGTCATGGTAATTCATTGTAAAACTGCAAATTTTGGAATTTCAGTCAGCATCAAGAAACAACTCTTACTTCAAGAAGAATGAAAAGATCAGGCTCAAAGCCAAGTTCCTTAAGAGCGGTTGCTTGAGAATAACTCCTAGGATAACCATCCAAGAGCCAACCTTTTTCCTGAGAATCAGGCTGCAGCAGCCGCTCCTTCACCATCTACAAGAACACTGATAGACAAGTTACAGACGTAAATTACCACATACCAAAATAATAGTATAGATTTCCCTACCAACACAACTATTTCATTGGGGACTAATTGTCCTTTCTCCATGTACTGTTTTGCTAGCTTTCCATTTTTGCTGCCACTATTGACTTCTGCCCTAAGTAAATCTCCAGCAGCAATATGCACCAAATCAAACTGCATATAGGAGAATGACTTGATTCAATCTGCTATTCTCCATTGGGCAACCAAATATGAGAAATTTATAGTGCAAGCATAAACAAAGACTGTACGCTTATCAAAAAAATGGCAAAACCAAAACTGAAGTACAAACTGAGAAAACGATAGGTTCAATCAAAACATATAACTAGATGCCAAATCCTTCTACCAGCCTTCAGTGGAGATATGGGCATCAAGGAAAAAAAAAATGAAAGCAGTGATATAAGCCTACTAATTTGGGAACTAATCAGTTTCAACGCACAGAGCAATTACGCTTGATACTCTTCTTCCCCGAATAAGAAACAGCCCAAAATGATCCTCAACTGTATACTATATGATTTCTATATTTTTTTAATATTAAAGTATCAAATGGAGAATAGCCCAAGAATCTGCTTTCTCAACTCAAATCTTCCCTGCCAAATACTTAGACACGATTCAAATATTCTCCCTAGAGTAGCTAACTCTAAACTCTTTTAGGACTTCTTTGTGGGGAAAGAGAAAATTGAAACAGCCTTCTACCAGCCTACAGTGGAGATATGGGCATCAAGAGAAAAAAAAAATGAAGTAATATAAACCTACTAATTTGGAAACTAATCAGTTTCAACGCACAAAGCAATTATGGTTGATACTCCTTTTTCCCGAGTAAGAAACAGTCACAACCAAAATGATCTTCAACTGTATACTATACGATTTCTATCATTTTTTTAATAGTAAAAGAACAAATGGAGAAGAGCCCAATAATCTGCTTTCTCAACTCACATCTTCCCTCGCCAAACTCTTCGACACATTATCAAATATTCTCCCTAGAGTAGCTAACTCTAAACTCTTTTAGGACTTCTTTATGGGGAAAGAGAACATTTGGAACAACCATCTCAGTTCACACACCCCACCCTCCTCTTTTTCTCAGCAAAGTGGCCTAGAACCAATAACTTTTTTGGAGTTGTATATGCCTCTGGTCTTACAGTCAACCTCAGCAAGCCCGTTACCGTTGGTATAAATGTGATTACAGTTGAACTTTGTATTAGAAAAGATATTTTTAGCAGGATTTCCAAATGAAATAATGCTTCTATCTCCAAGAGGGGAAGGTTTACACGATCCAACTCTATGTTAGGCAACACCCCAGCTAACTCTCTTTCTCTCAATCCTTAGAATCAGTTACCTCGTTGATAACTTTTCTAGAAAGTGGAAGCGTAAAATAAAATATATATAGATAAATAAGCAAAAGAAAAAGAAGGGCAACTTTCTAGTCATTATTGAATGATTTTCATCTGTATCTTAAAATAAACAGCTCTGAGTCTGTTAAAAGAAGACAATCATTAACCTGGTGCTTCAAAGTATGACAATATTGAATTAAAAATAAATTTCTTGCATTTTGACATATATATATAAAATCTTTAATTTTATTACACCTTGCAATAGACTTGTGTTTTAATACGAAAGCAAATATAAATAAAAAATAAAAATAAAAAACTCAAGAGAATTTCTTCCATAATAAAGAGCAGATGAAGTAGTACCCCTCCAATCACACATCGGAGAGCCTTTTGTATGATAAACTTCAGTTGATATTCTTTTCCCAAAAAACAAGGGTTCAGAAACTACGTCGAATGGGGGGAAATCATGAAAGTTTTAGAAGGAAATTATCGAAATAAACGGTGTTTAACACATGCAAAGTTGACAGTCTCTAGATTTAGATTTTCCCCCCTATCACACACAATAGTGGTTATATTTCTTCTCGATGAATTGATATATGTAAAACAAATAGCATAATTTCAAATCGGTGAGGGCCAAAAGAGAATAGATCATTGCAGCGGCCCGATTGTAAATGATTGCTTACTTTCTGAGTAATAAGCTCACATTGTGTTCCTTTACCCGAAGCAGGAGCGCCAGATATCATGACTCTAAGAGGCTCTGGTGTTGCACGCGCCGTAACCTGCCAACATATACAACCAGTCACAATCGTCAAAACTAACAAAACTCGCAATTTTCCAAAGCTTTATCGGAATTCTTAGAAAGAGGAAGTGAATTAGCAACGATAAAACCATGACATTGTAAGTACTGCTACGAAACCATGTTTGATTGTAAATTAAGTTCGAGCCGAACGTTCTTCCGTCCCCTAACAATTAGTAACTCCAGCTTTCATTATATTTACCCCAGCGATCACCAAACAAAGCAACAGGCATCCTGTTCTCGATCAATTCAACTAAATTCCACCCCTAACACTAAGAACGCTGATTACGGATAAAATCAAGCGCCATAATCGACTCAAATCGAGATGGAAACGCAATCAAATCATACCATTAATACAGGAGAACACGTAGCCTTCAATGACGGAGAAATGTCGAAACGCGGGAGAGCTAGGGCTCGGCATTGACGGCTAGACGATATCGAATTACTCGAAACGTAAGGGAAATTAATAGGTTGCCGTTGCCGCTGCCGAGACGGAGAAACTGGAGTCGCGTAAGCACAGGCTGTGAAACTCGAGTGGAGCGCCATTCTTCAGCTTTCTCCGCCGATCTCCTCCGCCGCCGTTCGTCGAAAAACTCGAGCAGTAGGCACAGCTTCACTCCCTCTACACTCCACAGCGCCGCGCCCTCGATCTCGATGTTATCGAAGCGAAGCTACCGCCACTCGCTCTTGACTTGCTTTTGTCCACGAGCTCGAAGCGTACGGTTGGGGTTTTCTGTATTTGGCTGTTCAATTCATTTCCTTGATATTTTTTCTTCGACATGTGGGGAAATGGGAATTCATTCGTATGAATTCGTTAATTTAATAAACTTAGATTCGTTGTTCATGAGTTAATTAGTATCAAAACTTTAATGTCAAATTCTACCTCATCAATTGATTGAATCATAGGTTTTTAATTGAAAAACTGTTTTAATTCCCACACGAAATTTTTTTTTTAAATTATATTGGGTAGCTAAACTTTCATACATATTTACGAAAATGTCAACCAGTTTTGTATTTTGTAAATATGGTAAAACATTTGAATTTTTATTTTCGGAATTTTTATTATTTCAATTTTATCTTTATGATATCTGATATACATTGATGTATATCTGATATACGCCTCATTGATGTATATCTAATATACGCCTGATAGATGTATATCTAATATACGTCTGATAGATGTATATCTGATATACGCCTAATAGATGTATATCTGATATACGTCTGATAGATGTATATCTGATATACGTCTGATAGAGGTATATCTGATATATCTCTAATATACTTCTGATCTACATCTGATGTACATCCGATGTATCTCTGATATACATAAGATGTATGTATTATACATCCAATATACATCTGATGTACCTCTAATTTGTGATATACTAAATATATCTGTAATAATATACCTATGTATATCTTATCTGATGTATCTCTGATGTACATTTGATGTACATATGATATATATCAGTGAGATACTAAATATATTTGTAACTGATACCTGATATATATCAGTAGATCACATATGCATCAATGTTAGATATCAGTAGATATCATGGTTATATCAATGGTAAATTAGAGACGTATTAAGTATATATCATAGATGCATCAAAGTTATATTAGTGGTAAATCATATAATCATATGAGAAGTTATATTAGTAGATATCATAATTATATCAGTGGTAAATTAAAGACATATAAAGTATATAGCACATATATATAAGTGTTATATCAACGTGATAAATCAATAGTAAATTATATACTCATACAATAACTTACATTAGTAGAAATTATAGTTATATCAATGGTAAATCATATTATAAGTTATATTAGTAGATATCATAGATATATCAGAAGTAAATCAATTGTATTTCAGTATTATATTTATATCATACGTATATCAGTGGTAAACCCTATTAGAAGTTATATTGGTAAATATCATAGGTAAATCAGAAGTAAATCAATTGTATATTAGTATTATATCAGTGGTATATAAAAAACATATCAATAATATATTACATATATTAGTGGTGAATCAATAAATAGTAAATAATATAATCATATAAGAAGTTATATTAGTAGATATCATAGTTATATCAATAATATATCAGTTATACTATATCAGTAGTAAATCAAATGTATATCAAGTATATATATATATATATATATCAGTAGTAAATAATGCTACGAGGATAAATTTGACATTTTATTATTAGACTTTCGTTTTTTCTAAAAATTTTGCTATATTTACAAATCTAAATTGTAGATGCTAAATTTGTTATTTCCTTAAATTTTTTTTGCCATATTTGTAACTGTACCTTTTTTTTTTCTTTTTTTTATAAAGCCCACCATACAATATTGTTATATATATATATATATATGACTTTTCATGATTTTAAATTACATGTTGGTCTCTTGTTTTTTATGGTTCATAATTTTTTTTCCCTTACCTCCTTATATGGGGTGAGGATCAAACTTACAATCTATATATGTCAGTTACGATCGAGTTATGTTTCCTTTAACTGCATCGCTATATATTGGAGATTTGGTTTAGGGGTGCTTTAAAACATTTGATAACTCGAACAACCCAAACTCAACCATCTACCGTAAGGATTTGAATGGGTTAGGTAATATTTTGGTTTGATTTGAGTTTGTCATTTTTTTTTCTTTTTCTATTACATGTTTTCCTACTTGATTATTGGGTTTAGAAAAATAGGTGTCAATTCAATTCATTTGGTTGAGGAGCACCTATTTTTACCATTGATTCATTGACTTTCAAAGTTGCATCTATATATACTTTGTACTTTTAAAAGGTTTATAATACATTCATTATATCAAAGCGAGCCTAACTCGACGATAATTGACATATACCTCAAATCAAGACTCAAGAGGTTGTTGGTTCAATCATTCATCCCACATGTTGTACCAAAAAAAATGCATTCATTGTATTTTAATGTTGTATCTAACCAAATTCCATTTGCTTGTTTGGTGAAGCAGGCCATTAAACTTCCAATCTTATTTTAATAGATAGATGTAATTAATTATGTTAATTTAATACTCCCACCTCATGATATATATTATTTAAGAATTTTGTGGTAGACTAATTTGGTACAAATTTAGGCACTTAGTAGCGCAAGATTAGACAAAATTGAACATTTAGATACTTGTTTATATTTATCTAAGGGTATGAATTAAAATCTACACGACTTAATCAAGTTGAGCATAACTTAGCTAGTTAAGATATAAATCTTCAATCAAAAGATCATGGGTTCGAATCTCCACATACATATATTATTATTGTATTAAAAAAATTATCACGATTATAAAAAGCTTGATAATTGTTTAATAAATACGTGAATCGAGAAAAGTGTACAATAGATCTATAGAGTATATAAATTTGTGCCTAATAACTTTATAATCCTTCGAGAAGGTCGAGTCTCACATTTTTTAATTTCGTTTATAATAAGTTGTATAAACCAAGAGGGCCCAGTCCTCCAAGAAAGCCAATAAGACCAAATGGATCCATGGACTTGTCTTTCCTTTTGTAATTGTTTTGGTCTATAGGTACAACATTGTTGACATTAGACTTTGACTTTTAGTAGTCTTTGCAATATATAAGCTCATTATCTCTTAGGCCAAACCTCTTTTTATTTAGGCATTATTTACTTGCCATAATTATTATGTTAGCCACACGATGACTACCTATTTTATAAATTTTTTTAATATTTTTTCGTAACAAATATTATTGTCAGGTAATTAGTTGAGGTGTGCGTAAGTTGGTCTGAACCTTTGCGGATATCAAAGAAAAAAAATTACTATATTAGTTTCGAGGTTTCATTAGCACATTCACAAATTAGGGTTTATTTGTTGACCATATGCAAGCGAACTTATGTTCGTTTTTGAAGCATAAAAGTTGTTTCGCATAAATGAAGAGTTGAGTTTTATCTCCTTCAAATTTGAGGTTAAAGAGTCTCATTGCGTTTGTGAGTAGCATAAGCACGTTAAACCCTAGAATTATTAAAGTTTGGGTTGATCATCAAATGTGTGGAATGATTCGAATCTTGGGATTGAAACTAGGTCTTCAAGTCCAATATTTTTTACTTATAAGAAAACTCGTGCGTGTGAGATGTTCTAGTTTGCGTTTTTAGTCGGTGCTTGTACTTGAAGGGTTGCAGGAGTCACCTCTCTAGTATCGTTGTTTACGTCAATAAGTCGTTAAACTTAGAGTTTAATAACTTATTAGATTAAGTTATGAAAGTTAAAAAACCAACTTGATACAATTTGCTAAAGTGAGTATAACTCACGATAATTGACATATATCTCAAACTAAGAGGTCGTGGGTTCGATCCTCCGCCTCCATATGTTGTACTAAAAAAACTTGATAACAATTTTTTTAATTATGTTTGATTAAATTATAAGTTGAATATTTAAATTTTAAGTATCGTTGAAGAAAAGATTCGAACTCACAATTTATTGATCGGATGATATGTCAATTACCGCTGAGCTATGCTCTCTTTAGCTCAAGCGTCGTGTCTAATGACTATTGAATTTTAAGAGTTGTCTAATAAATTTACGAGAAAACTTGATCTTCCATCTCTACATTTATTTAATGAAAAGAAAAACGGGGCAAAACAGCTAGGGCATGGAATTAGGAATATTCGAATACAACTTGGTGGCAAGGATGGTGATACCCGCGGGCCGTCTATTCCGTTGGTGGGAAATGAAAAGGGCCATCGCAGCAGGCTTGGTCTTCCTCATTTCTCATTCCGAGAAGAGAGCGATTCTGGATCAGCCATGGCCAGGGCACCGATGAGCGCCGCCGGAGCATTGACGTCGTCCTCCCCTTCCCTCACCAGCACCGTCGTCTTGGGCACCGGATCCTCTTCGTCCACTTCTTCGTCGTCTCAGCAGCCCGAAACCCTAGTGCTCCGTCTCAATCGGAAGAAGAAGAAGGTTTCTTGGAAGGAAGGGACCGTCGACAACGAGTTCATGCAGAAGAAGAGCTCGAAGAAGTGCTGCATATTCCACAAGCAGAAGCCGTTTGACGAGGACGACAGCGATCAGGAAGATGATGCCCACGGGGATAATCACAATCACGAGAATGGAAGCCCTTGCTGCTCTAGGGGAAACGGCGGGGATGATTCCAGTAGAATCAGTCGGTAATCCGAATTTCGATGTAAAGCTGGTTACAGAATTCGCGATTTTATCGTTTTGATTGTCAGATTCTCTTAAATTTTTTTTCCCGTTTGTCGAAGTAATTGATCAACGATATGTTATTTTACTAATCGAGGGGGTTTCCCTATAATTCGAGTCGTTATAGGTGGGTGTAACGTGCCATCGTTTTACCAGTGGAAGTTTGCGTTCCTTTTATCATTTTCGATCCTCTGGATAATCGTCTTGCATTCGTAATTATTGATCTTGACATGTTTCGGGGTTGTCTGGAATTAATCTCGCTAGATAATCGGCCATAATTACATGGAAATTTCTCACAGAATATTTCCATCCATCAATTTGTCTGTTCTCATTCTGGTTCGGTTAGTCTGTGGATTTCCTATTGAATTTCGATATCAACACGAAATCTGCTATAATGGTACATATGATTCCTGCGGAGTATTTTCCCCTGTTCCTTATGGTATTCACGAACGTGGATGAGATAGTCTTAGGGTTCTGATTGCATTAAGTTATCCAAGTTCCTACTTCTGAACACTCATCGAGAAAGAAGAATATCATAGATTAGGGTGCAATTTATAGTCTGCGATGACGAAACCATCAGAAACTAACAACGGATGAAATTTTGATAGGGTACTGGATTCCAGGTTTGAGGTTATGAAGAATTTACGAACCTGTTCGGTGTGAGTGTGATATTTGAATGAGCATTGATAAAGGCAGAAGTATGCTGATGTCTTTGTCGGGGACTCAAGAAAGTTTGTTTTTTTCATGCCTAAGAGTGAGCTTGAGGTCTAGAATCCATCTGTTATAGAACGAGTTTTGGGTGGTTTTCAAATTCATATTGTTTAGCAGTTTGGGTCCGTGCAGCTGTTTAATTTCTGTTTGAATGTTTGAATTACAAGTGTTATTTGCTATAGAAAACTCACTATTTTTATGCCTTTTTTTTCTCTTCTACAATTTCCCTTAGTTTACATTTTCATTAATTTCTGCAAACCAGCCATTGTTGTTTGCTCTTGTAATGATAGGATACTCTACTATTGTTATATTTACCTCATTGATTGTTTTGTTTGGAAATCCTCTTCTACAGATGGTCATTCACAAAAACAGTGATCCTGGTTCATTGGTTTTGATCATATCTTTTATGAATTTTTCCGTATTGCTTCCTTCAACCTAAAGAGCAGAACATAGTTCCTTGAGCTCGGGCTGAATGAATATGTATTTTGGTTGAATTTGAAAACATGGATGTATGTCCCTCTGACACACTAAACTTTACAAGGTTATCCTCTGATTCTGGCTTGTTTTCCAAACCTCCATTCAACTGTATATTCTCAACTTAGAAACCTGGGAAGGCAGAAACAGGACAAGCCAAATGTCACGACATGTCTTTAAAGTAGAGTTATATAACTAGGGAAACAATTTTGCACACTCCTAGAGTAGACCAAACTGAGTTATCACTACCTAATTAAACTTCCCGTGCTTGAAAATTTGTTCCCTCAGCTATTTTCTCTTACAAAATGATTCCGGTAGAAGAAAATAAACCCTAATGAAACCAATAGAGACTATAGTCTTAGTCTATGTTATATCCTTAGTCATCATATAAGTGCTAAGTGCCAACCCAATCATTAATTTCTCTGTTCTTTGCTGCAAATTCCTCCAGATTGAATTTTTGCTCAATTGGAGGGTACATGGTAATATTTCCCTTTACACATGCATCTGTAAACAGTTGGACAGGACTCTGCAACAGAGCACTTGAAGCTCACCATCACCCTTTTGCATGGAAAACATGGACCGCATGCATGGGAGCAGTCTGGGAGGCTGGATCCTGTAGGGTATAACTCCATACCAAGTACTTCTTTAGCCCTTTCCTGCACAGTCACACATGATAACGAAACTGAATGAGGACTTTTTTGCAGTATGTTGCCATGGTTTTTCTTGTTTACTGTACTCTCAAGCGAGCATCTATTATTTATATTTTTCATATTATTGTCTCAGTTAGGTGACCTTTATTTATTTATTCGCAAAAGGTTTAACACTGGGTGGATAAATGTGGGCTGAAAGTAACATAATACCTTCTGGTGCATTGAACTGTCCACTGTTCTGTGAATATCTTCTGCATTAAAGCTCACTGAAATATCACACACTTGAAAGGCTTAGATGTCATAACTGATTAAATCAGAGAAAAATGTCGGTGTATCCGTTATAGGGATACAGATGCATATCTTCCGCAACTAGAATATCAAAATAAGTAGACAATGTAAACCGCATAGATGATGAGTTTTCTTACTGTGTTCCCAGCGAGATGTTGCATCAAGACTTCTGCCAATCATTAGAATGATGAAGAAAACCACAAAAATAAAAGACAGGTGAGCTACCAGAGAACATTTCTTCATTGTTTTTTGATAATGCAGAAGCCTGGAAGAATGAAGTGGTAGAGCAAAAGGAGAAAACAGACTGCAAGGTTTGTTGGAAATGTTGGTGACAGATGATTTAGTATGTTGCCAGCATTTTATATAGAGTTAGTTTTTAATGTAGGAAGAGGTACATCTGTTGCACTTCACATGATCCACGGCCATGGTTTGAAGGATCACATGATTTGGCAAGTAAACTCAAGACCATCCAGAAACTTTAAATGAACTGTGGCACTTGATCTCATACGTACACAGGTACATATATTTTACTCTATAGTGTATATATAGCTCAAATTTTGAATTGCTGCATCTTGGATGTATGTGAAGTCGAGACATTTTGAAAATTTAGATTATTATTACTCATCATGACCTGTAAAATACAAATATGAGATGACTCGTGGATTCATCAATACTTTTTTTTTTTTTTCATGTATTGCTTGGGTAGCTACATTCATTTATAGTCGACGTGCGTGCAAACTGGTCCGGACACACGGATTTCAGAAAAAAGAAAAAAAAAACAGCATAAGATAGGGAAACTTTGTATCCATTTATTATATAGATTGTTTATAAAATCTTAGGAGTACTTGTTACTAATTAGAAATCTTTATGTTATTTGGTGATAAGTGAAAGGGTATTTTTTGACAAGTACTTCAAAGATGAGCATTTAATTGATTTTTTTTCCTTTGTTAAAAAATATTCGTACGAGCAAGTGTTCTTTTTAGAAACATTGCTTCCTGAATAGATGATATCTGTTGAATTAGATTTGTGAGTTGAATTAAGGAGGATTGAAAGGATCGGGTGAAAATACTATTTTGATTTTTGTACTTCTGTTCATTTTGGCCCCCTCATTTGAAAACATCCATTTTGGTCCGTGAATTTACAACTTTGGTTCATTAGTCTTTGTATTTTCAAAACGTTTATGTTGGTCTTTGTTCCCTGCTTGTAAAATTTTAACTCGATTACATTTCAAGAAATATATTGGGCCAATTTTTTGTTGAATTTGTGGTGGAGAAAAATGAGATAAAAAATAAAATGAAGAGACCAAAACAATCATTGTTTAAAAGGGACATGGACCAAAACAAACACCTCAAAGACTAAAATAGACAAAAGTTGAAAATATATAGATGGACTAAAATAATATTTTGAACGATAAAGATTATTATCCCAAGTGAATGGGAAATGACTAAATTATTTTGGTATGTGTTGCTCAAAGAACATGAAGTGCAGGCTTTTAGTTGCTAGACGACACAAGGAATTCACGTGGAGGGGGAGCAGAAAAGGCAAAGGCCCTATTGAAATTGAAGAAGCCCTCTGCCCTTAACGTGAAGAAGCCGAAGCCCTTTGCATTGAATGAACTTCTACTACATGTGTCAGTTTCCGATACATGAATATGCTTCCTTAAAAGATCAGAACAGCTCTTTCAATTAAATTTTAGGTCTAATTTGTTGTTCTTTGTGGCTCTCATCCTCTAGGAAGCCGAGTTATAGTCAATTTTGTCCCATGTAGGGCCTCTGCTGTGTGAGACAAAATATTATGCCATCTGCTTGCTTGATTTGAATTAAAAATTGAGGGAAATTTCTTTGTTCCACCTTGATTACTTTTTTAGTGGGGTTTTTTTTTCCTTTCAAATATTTGTAATTGTTCAGACCTATTTGTGTGATAAGGAAACTCGATGGATTTTAAATTTTTGGTAGGTGACCATCATAGTTTAAACTATTCGTCTCGAACACTGTGTTTGTATTTGGTTTTTGACCTTGTAGAATTATGTTTGATTTGTGAGGAATAATATTTGTTAAGATGATGAGAAGGTTAAATAAATGAGTGAGGCATGTGTATACCTATAGCATACAACTTTTTTTTTTAGTTTGACTGTAAGAGTGAGAATTTGAACTTCTAACCTTTTGATCGGGGATATATGCTTTAATCAATTGAGTTATGTTTGGATTAGCTATACATAAAGCAAATTTACAATAATAATCTATCACAAATCGCACGAGCTAGAAAAGTCTAATATTGCATTAACTTTAGTCTTACAATCTTGTAAATTCTTGCTACCATATATAGTTTGGACTTTGAAGGATGTTCAAACTAATCGAAATAAGATTTTTGAGACTCGAAAGATTCACTCTCAAAGTCTCGATCTCTTTGCATCAAATGTATGATTGCTTAATTTGACTACTATTCGTTCAAGTCATGAGCTAAGTGCTAAGATCACCGAGCGCAATAGAGACTTCACTAGGCATATTCATGCTATGTATGCATGTGCTACAACTCAACTTGTCCATTATTTTGGCCAACCACATTATCATTTCAACTCGTCTAAATCAACTTGCAAATTATATAAACGCTACTAAAAATGATAATGGTGGTTGTTTCACATACGGATGACAATGACCATCATGAACTTAAATAGTTTAGTGGTTAAGACATTAATTGTCCATCATCACATTTGTTGTAAAGAAAAAGAAAAAGAGCTGAAATTTTCAAATACTCATCCATGTACCAGGTTGGATGCTATGAAATTGAAAGTTTTTGTAATTATTTAACATAAAAAATAAGGTTATTCCTGCATGATTTAGTCCTTGAATTTCAAGTTAAATAAGGTTATTCCTATGATTTAGTCATTGAATTTCAAGTTATAATAATTTAGTCTATGTACTTTTAAATTGGTAACAATTTAGTTCAGTTTAAATTTTATAACAATTTGGTCCCACTATAAAAAATCTCATTAAAATTAAGTGTTGATTATTACGGATCGATTTGGTCTTTGTAATTTATAAATATATTTGGTTCTTCCTCAATTTGTTAATTTATATATATAAAAAACTCCATTAAATTTGAACAATATTTTTCACAATAACAACTAAACCATTACAAGATTAAATTAATGCATATTAAAATTCGGAGACTAAATTACTAACTATTTGAAAGTAGAATGACACTAATTATTATAAACTAAAATTTACAGACTAAGTCATTACTTCGTACGGGAGTAATATGTATTTTTTAAATAATAATAATATATTGACCCAATATTGAATATAAATCTTAAAACCATGTCATTGCCTCGTGATATTAATCGAGTAACAATCCATGCAAGCTACGAAAGTAAAGTAGAAGTTGAAAAATAGTGTAGTTGTGAAACGTGTCAGTCAATATGTAAGCGCACTGCGTTATCTCGCGTTCAACACTTCCAACTTCAACCCGAGACTCGTCTTCTCTTCATTTCGGAAATTTCAGGTTCCCGAAACGCTTCTTATATTTTACTTTTTGTTCGTCGATTCTCATCTCAACTTCCGGATTACGACAGTATTTTATCTTTTAATCTTCCATTTTCAGCTCCATCAATCTGTTTCTGTTCTCAAATGCTTTGCCGGATTCCGCTCCTGCTCCGGCGATTCCGTCCGATATTTCGGGATTAACATGGGTTTTCGGAGTTCATTAGTTATTGAGTAAGTTCGACCGAGAAACTACTTTTCAGCTGAATTTGATTTGCTTATTCTCCAACGTTATCGAAAGTTGAAGTTCTTTGATAATGATAAAACCTGTGTCCAGCTAGCTGGAAGTTTAGGAAGAACAAAGGAAATTTATATTTTGGGAAATTCTTTTGCGAATGTACTTTTGATCTTTGCTTAACTTAGTCCAGATCAATCAGGTCTACTTGAACTTCTTCTGCAGATGAAGTTTCCTTCTCTACTTTTCTTTGTCATTCATTTGGTTACTAAATATGAACTTCTTTTCTCAATTTTTGCCTCTTATCATTGTCATTTACAACAATGGTGATGCGCACTGGTTTATCTTCCCTTAAAGTTCAGCTTATCAGAATCATGACCTGGGGGGAATTTTTTGGAGAACTTGATCATATATTTGGTTAAGTTTCAACGGTTTCAAACTATGCATACTTTTACTGTTAATTGAGTCTGCATTGCCTTGGTGAAAATGTCGGATTTACAAATTTGCTCAGTTGTTCAGCGAAATGGTAGTGATTTGGTTGAAAAGTTGAATTCTTATTGTGGTGAAATCTTACTTGAGTTTATTTAATGGAACGAAGTGATTTCAATAGGTGAAGTGAAATCATAATCGAACGCAAGCAACAAAAAACTTGTATAAGAAACGGGGGCCACTGGCCACCAAACCTTGCACGCACACTGCCCAAAAAGCACAAGCTAGCTAAATTTTATTCTAAACATCTCGGGCATCAGAGCCATGTTTCATGATGTAAACACACACCTCGAGTTAAAAAATTCAGTCTAGAAATTGGATGAGCACGGTATAATAATTGATTAAACCATGCAACAATCTGGTGCTTAAGCATTATAGATATGAGTTGAGTGGAATTTGTTGACATGTAACGTGTTGACTGCATATTATCATAGTTGTACTTGTATGCTTTGTGATGTGCAATGCTAGAAGATATGAATAGTGTATATATATTTTATATACTAAGTGTCCAGCAACTTGTGTATACCTCGACTATTCTCACGGGACAACTACCTAATTCTACTACATTTGGTAGTCAAGGTAACTTATAGGATATTAAATCATAGATAGATGGTCACCTCAAATATAGTTGTATCTTTGTACGTATTTTTTTATGTACACTGATACTACTATATCTTAGAAATGGGCATTGGAAATATACAGAGCATGACATATATTAAACTATGTTGTGATGGAAGCTGATGATGTAAGAATTTGTTGAGATCCAGAGCTTTTGCATTTTTATTATTTTCTTAATCATGCAGACTTTTTTCCTTTGTAATTTTAATTGTTCATTTTTTGAAGGTGGAAATAATTTTGTTATTTGGTGCAGAATGCCAGCTCCGATTTTAGGTTTTTCTTGTTTCAGTTTGAAAGTAAATGTCCATGGAAATGATTGAAGTCATGATAATATCTAATACAATAAACTGGGAAATAAAATGGTCTCCTAAAAGCAATTTTAGTTGCATAGCATAATATTGTTATGTTACGTAATCTCAAATTGACTGAAAGCTTTCTTTGAATTCTTGGCCATCTTTTACATCGGTTGATTAATTGTAGTTGATTCATGTTATTTCAAGATTTCAGTGGATAAACCATACTCTTATCCCATTAATATGATTTGATTATTTTAACTATTATCTGTGTTTGATTCAAGAAGATTAGTCAGGTCATGAACATCTAATGTTGGAGCCTAAGGAGCCTCTCACGGATGTGCAATTCAAGGAAAAACGAGTAAGTGGGCTTGTGTGCACTGGTAGGCATGGCTTGTTTTGTTATGAAGGTTTTGGAGTTGGTTGAATTTCCTCTTAATAAGAAGTTAGTCACATTGCAGTGATGAGTATCTGAACATTTTAAACAGGGTTTGGTACCTTCCCGGGCTTCTGATCCTGGTTGGGCTCATGGAATTATGGTCAATGGGGGTCGCCAGAAGATTAAATGCAAATACTGCCATAAAGTTATGCTTGGGGGTGGCATATCCAGACTAAAGCAGCATCTGGCCGGGGAAAGGGGAAATGTAGCTCCATGTGAGGAAGTTCCAGAAGAAGTTAAGCTGCAGATTCAACAACTTCTAGGTTTTAAAGTTCTGGAGAAGCTGAAACGGCAGAAGAAAAGTAACAAGAACGCAGTACCATGCTTTCCAAGCAGGGAAGGAATAGATGATAGGGTACACTGGGTTCGGAATACTCGACGAGGCTGTTCCCAAAGAAAGGGAAAGGAGATATTAGAAGGAGGTACTAAGGAAGCAAAGAGGAAAAAGAAACAATTTTTTCCAACATCTTTTGTTACTCAACCCGATAACCATAATATTGCTCCAATAGGCATGGAACAAGCTGATATGGCTGTTGCCAGATTTATGTATCAAGCTGGTATACCAATTAGTGCCGTAAGCTCACAATATTTCCAAAAAATGGCTGATGCAATTGCTTCTGTAGGCCCCGGTTATAAGATGCCAACCTATCATTCTTTGATGGGTAAATTGCTTGACAGAAGCGCCCAGAATGCTGGGGAATATGTTGAAGAGTTGAGAAAGTCTTGGGAGGTTACCGGGTGCACAGTCCTGGTTGATAGGTGGATGGATAGAACTGGTTTTGTAGTAAACTTTTTTGTCTATTGTACCAAGGGTATCATGTTCCTTAAGTCTGTTGATTTATCCGAAGTTTCAGAATCACCGGAGGGCCTTCTAAATTTATTTGACAGCATTGTTCAAGAAGTTGGACTGAAGAATATAGTCAATTTTGTGACAGATACTTCTCCCTTGTTTAAAGCTGCAGGTATACTCTTGGTGGAAAAATACAAAACATTTTTCTTAACTGTTTGTGCTGCACACTGTTTGGAGTTAATCCTCGGGGAAATTGAGAAAATGGAAGAAGTAGAAGAGGTTGTTGGGAAAGCTAAAAGGATAGTTCAGTTCATATACAACAATGTTTGGGTCCTAAATTTGATAAAGAAGAGAATTGGTGGGAGAGAGATTATCCAGCTTGCATCTACAAGAATTTTCTCCATCTTTTTGACTCTGCATAACATTCTGTCTTTGAAAGATCATCTTCATCAGACGTTCACCAGTGGTGACTGGATGCAGTCAAATTTCTCGAAGCATGGAGCTGGACTTGAGGTGGCAAAGATTACTGCTGATCCACTCTTCTGGTCGAAGTGTGATCATGTTACAACGGGAACAAAGCCTTTACTTTCTGTGTTGCAATTTCTTGAATCAGAGGAGAAGCCATCTGCTGGATTTATATACGATGCATTTGAAAAAGCAAAGAACAGTGTCATGCTTGCTTTTAACGAGAAGGAATCTGATTACTCGCCATTTCTGAAAGCTATTGACCATGTTTTGCAGAAGGAATTTCAGAGCCCACTTCACGTGGCTGCATATTACCTCAATCCATCAATATTCTACAGTCCTACATTCTTATCCAGCAAAGTAATTCAAAAGGGTTTACTTGATTGTATTGAAGCCTTAGAGCCAGACATAACATCTCAGGTTATGAGCAACATAAATTTCTATGAGGAAGCCGTTGGAGATTTTGGGCGGTCGGTGGCATTACATGGTCGAGAATCATTGGCCCCAGGTTACCTTCTTCCTAATATGCTTTCATGATATAACATTCTAACTATTAACATCTGTTCTGTTTTATTTTAGCTACTTGGTGGTCATTGTATGGAACTGATTACCCAGATTTACAACGGTTAGCCGTCAGGATATTGAGTCAGACTTGCAGCATTATACAATGTCGTAAAAGCAAGAGCATGTTCAAAAATGTCCATTTAAAGAAGAACCGACTAGAAAGGCAGAAGATGAATGACCTTGAATTTGTTCATTATAACTTGCGACTCCAGGAAAGGTAACTTGGACTATTTTGCTTCCATTTTTTTTCAGATGTTTATCCTTTGAAAGTGTTGGCAAGACTACTTTGCTTCAACTATGTCCTTCTTCTTGGTGCCTCTTTTCAAAAGATATTTTGTAATTATGAGCTAAAATTGGGAAGCCTTTCTGTAACCCTTTGGCACTGTGGGATATCTCATCTCCCCTTCTCATACATGCTCTCTTGATTAATACTATTCTTATAAAAGAAAAAAGAGTGGGTTTCATGAACAACTAATATTACATTATATATCCTTGTTGTACTTCTTCTTCCGTATAGCTATATGGACTAGGTATAGAATCATTCTTCTTTGAACCGTAATGCAAAATTGCAACATTCACTAATTATGTCCTTATTGTGCCCTTGAATTAATTTAGTGGAAAAGATAAAATTCAATCTCTCCAGAAGAATTGGGGTAAGGATTTGTATGCTTTGAATAAAAAATGATAGAATTTTCTTTATATTCTTCCATTTGTGCTCAAGCAGGAGACTGGAGATTGGTAAAGAAAGGTGCTCAATATGTGCACTTGATCCTGTTTGTTTGGAAGCCATTGATGTGATGATGGAAGATTGGTTGGCGGATGTTGAGGTAATGGAAGATGAGCACAAGAGGTGGATGAATGTGAAGGTCACTAGTCAGGAAACCTCGGTGGAACATAAATTTTCCAATGTGAATAGTTGTATTGACAACACAGATGAGAGAGCCAGCGAGGACACAATAGATACAGATGGTAATGATTTGTAGGCTCTGCTTTGTTCTAAAGCAGTTGATTACCTCATCAAGAAATAATTAGTTCATGAATGCTCTAATTCTCTTCTATAATCTGCTAAATGTACGTAGTATCTAATTTCCATCAGATATAGAACCTTGTTCAATTGAGGGAGTTAAAAAAAGGAAATAAATTTGTTTTTGTCAAACAGTTGCAAGAATTAGGCTCTATACACATTTATTTTCTGGAAAAGAAACTAGATCCCAATTTGGAAGAGCTCAATTGAAGTCCAAATTAATGATACTATCCATCAATAGATATAAGGAGCTGATGCAGGTCCAACTGTACGAGATTGTAGGTTAGGAAGTCAAAGGAAATTCAAATTCGAAGTGGTTGTTGTTATTTGTTAAGGATAATCTGTGGAAAAATCGATGGTTGAAAATGTATCCCTTGTTCAATTTGGTTATTTTGATGTTTGCTGAACGAAGTTCTTGAATGATTTGCTTTGACAGTAATGAAATATATTATGAAAATATAGCTTCAAGTGTCAAAATTTAAGAAAATTTGAGGTTTGAGATTAAAAAAAAAAAAAAAACTTCTGAAGTTTTTCTCGTATTCCATAAAGAGAGTCAAAATTATTGAATTTCTTTCAAATAGTTGAATGTATAATACTTCCGCTGCCCCTTGTTACTGATAATATATTTTCTGCAATGGACACATAATTTAGAAATTAAATCTAGATCTGTTGCTGAAATGCTGATGGTGTACGTCGGAAGTTCAACATTTATTGGCGAAGAGAAGACAGGACAACATCTTGGAGGGAGCTGTCTCTCTGCATGGCAGCTTTGAACTCATCGAAGGTAACCTTTCCATCACTGTTGGCATCCATCAGATCAAATATTTCATCTAATTTCCCGGGTTCTGTGATGTCCACTGGGAGGCAATCATCAGGCAAAGCCTGCTCAAAATTATGAAGGTCATTGTGCTTAAAGAAACTACATATAAAGCATACTACCAAGTACCAAGAACGAAATAAAAATCAAGGGGGCATTACTCTCAGCATTGATGCCACTTCTTCCTTTGTGATGCACCCGGATCGATCTGCGTCATACATCTATCAACCAAATATAATAAACATTAAAGCTTTGTGGTTGCCTTATCCTCTGCAGAGTAGTGAATTCAGTAACAATATTTTTTTTGTGCAGAATATTCTTGGCGACGAGGTTCTTGCTCCTCCAGACGTGAGTTGTAAATACAGGATAATATAACATAATAAGAATACAGTGTCTAAATATGTATGTTACTCCATATTAGTTTATATATATTTTTTGTACAATACCGTACAGATATATGTGTTTAAGCATATGTAAATTTGTGTTTGATAGCTGACTCTTGCAATCCATTTTCATTTTAGGAGATAATGAACGAAAACTGGATATTTTAGTTTAGCTGTTCTGAAAGTTATAAAGTTGTCTTTCTTATTAACATACAAAAGGCAATAGAAAAGGCAGCCAAGGTGAATACCTTTTCGAAGGTGCTCACCACGACTGACCATTGGGTGCAGACAATTTACGTTTTTGGAGGCCATGACACAATGTTGCATTGAAAACACTTGGAAATTTTGGGGAAGGGGAAGATTTGGATGAGACTGGCATCCTGTAAGGGTTTGATGACAAATTTCTTCATCCTTCATGACATATTAAGGTCAGTTTCATGCTCTATTATCCAACGTAATTATGAATCTTAGTTTTGGAAAGATTATTTTCTCTGCATAAATTAGGGAAGGGGAAGTCTTCAGGGGAGGGAGGCTCAGTATAGGAAACAGAAGAAGGAATGAAGTCAATCACTCTCTTTAGCACAAAGTTAACTACATTTTGTATCCCCTTGTATATTTTTTTTTTCATTTCTCTAAATGAAAACTTGGTTTCTTATGAGTGAAAGAAAGTTAACTCCAGTGAATATGACCAGTTCCAAAGAGAAAAAAAGGTTGAAACTAGAGTCCTGGTTTGAGAGTCGAACTTGTTCCTATAACTCAACTAGAAGTCCTTGGTTTTTCTTTTTCGAATGATTTTTTTCCTTGTTGAAGTATTTCAATATTCAATCAAGTGTCAGTTTTCGGGTTTCATTCAAGATTTGATGCAACTCTAATGTGACTTGAGGTGTAATATGTGGGCTACAGTGGATTCATATCCACTAGGTAATAGACTCTGCAACTTTAATGTTCTCTAGGAATGTCGTGTATGTCTGCATTGTACCTATGGTGTACTTTTGTAATTGAATACGCACCTGAAAACACAGGCGAAGAGCATCGTCACCTCGTGAGTTTCTAAGGCTCGAAAAGCCACAGAGAATCTCACGCATGTCAACTGTTCCATCTCGATTATCATCAAAGAGGTAAAAAATGCGAGGTGCAAGAGGGAGAAGTGAAGACATATTCATTGCTTTCAGCACTTCTTCGAATTCAGAAAGAGTGGCATTGTCACCTTTTGCACATCTGCGTATTGCAAGGTAAGGTATGCAAATTCATCAAATTCTTAAAAATCCTACTAGGCAAGTTAGCTTGTTCACCAAATCATTTCTCATGAATTTTAGTCTAATAAGGTTATTAGGTTAGTGTGCCATTAGAAAGCAATAACTTAAATATGCATGGCCAATAACTTTCAGCAGCCTATGTTTTTAAGCCATTGTTATTTACAGTAGTAAGGTTGAAATTTGAATTGGTTATATATGACAACTTACATTTTCTTGAAATGAAGTCTGAGATTTTCGACTTCCTCAGGTGTGAGATCATAAGACCCTAATAAAGATCTTAGCTTCTTTGTCCTCAAAAAAATTGTGCTGCTCCATACGCTAGCTATCGCTGCAGCTCTAAGCTTGCGTCGGGCATTGAAACTCTTGAGTCGTGATACAATCTCAGCATCCATTTGATCCTGCTTGGCTGAATTGCCCGTGACCCATGGATGCTCTAGAAGCTGTTTTCATGACATTTGTAAGACCAACAGGGCATTTCAGCAAATTACTGGAAAGGAATTCATCTTGAAAATCCTGTCTCTAGATTGATGTGATATGTGCAATGGAATGAATGAAACTCCTGATCATCCTTTTTCCTTTTTAATTTGAAGTTGCCTTTCCTAGAAGGAATAAGGACTTGTGGGCTTTCGATTTAAGTTTGGATTGAATGAGATAGGGGTTGTTCCAAGGCATTTGGTGGATGGGCTGGAGTTTGGGATTTCACTATTAGTTTTTATAGTTTGCATCCATGGTCACTGATAAAATCTCGATTCTATTATTTATGTTCAGAGAGGAATTACAAGGGTCAAGGGAGATTTCGACAGCTCTCTATCCTCTCCACACTAAATCCTACCAAAAACCAAACAAAAGATGCCCTTACGTCACACTCCCAACCCACATATACTGTATACTACTAATTACCATAATGCCTATCTAACTCGGGCCCATTGCTCTAATAGGATTCCCCCACGTCCCACTTACCTCAGCCGCTCTCCCCCTCTCCTCCTCTTTCTAGAATATATTCCTCTCAGTTACATGAATATACTTGGCTGCAGATGCTTTACATTCAGATTTATGTGTGTTTTCTGTGTTGTTGCGGGGGTGGGGTTACCAGTTACCTCCTGGATTTCATACCTCTTGGGCACTGGGTCTCCCCTGAGGATCAACTGTCAGCAGACTTGAAATCAGTTGTCTAGCTGAAGAAGAAATGGTCTTCCAAGTTTTCTCATGGAAACTGTAGTCTCCCTGTATTCACCCAGAAAGTCACCAAAAAAAGAGAACATTTTCTTTCTTTTTCTGATCAAAGTAAAAAAATCTGAATTACAAGTTTATAGATTTGAAAACATAATTGCAGACCACTTACAGCCATTATTAACTCCTGCTTTTGCCGATTGGATTGAGCTGTAAATGGTGGGTACCTATGCAAAGAAACTTGTTTGAGTTCACTTTATTTTCCACAGCAAGCTGCAGAATTATGAAACTTTGACCTGAATTTATTTATGTTATATATATATTTATATTTTTTGCAGGTTATTGAAAGGAAACTCCATTACATACCCAGAGAGAAGAATGTACAAAATCACTCCCAGAGACCACATATCACTTTTGGAGGTAATACTTCCCTGGGAAAGAGCTTCTGGTGAGACATAATCTATGGAACCAAACAATCCAACAACTGGGTCAGTGAATTCCTCCACAGAACTTAACCCGAAGTCCATGATTTTCAAGGCGGAGTCCCGACTTTCGTCGAGGAAGAGACAGTTTTCAGGTTTCAAGTCCCTGTGAATGATATTAGCCTGATGGAGAGCCTTCAAACCACTGGCAATCTGTCTCACAACCGCAGCAGCTTTCGCTTCGGTGTGCCTCGTCTGCGCCACAATCCTGTCAAAAAGCTCACCTCCAGAACAGAGCTCCAACACCAGGTGAACCCCATTCGAGTCCTCATACACGTCGTAAAGGTCGATCACATTCTCATGGGGGGAGACGTTTTCAACTATCTTCCTCATGACCAAAATTTCATTTGTTAGCAAAGCATCAGAAATCATAGATTTCCTTGTTGGAACCATGGAAGCCATGCTCCTCAGGGCACTACGATTTGGTGGAAATCCTGAGAAACTTGATGCTCCAATCCTTCTTAGTGTCTTAATGGCTACTTCTCTTCTCTCTCTCCTGGATTTACTGATACCTCTTCTGACTACTGAAAATCCTCCTCTCCCTAAAACATCTGAAATCTCGTACTCGTCGGAGAGTTTCCGAGCTTGCTGTATCATTGTTGCTGGAAAAGTGGCCAGAAGAGGGAGAAGGGAGGAAAAAGAAAGAGGAATCTGAGAATATTAGGTGGAAGAAAGCAGCTGAGGAAGAGGACAAGACCGAGGGAAGGGAGTTCTGAAATGAGGAACTTTCATAAGCTTTGTAGTGAGCAGTTGTGGATTGGTTGTTAATGGAATTTTTCATTAGAAAAATGAGTCAATTTGTGGGAATAAACTAAGGAGAGTAGAAGTTGAGCAAGAAAGACAGACATAGACAAAGTCAAATTTGAACTTTGTATAGAAGCTCTCTCTTTCTCTCTCCCCTTTCTTCATACTTTGTTCTCTCTCTCCTCTGAAAGTTGCCCTTTATAACCGCGTTTTCCGTTAAAAGTCAACCAATGTTCTCCTCCCTTCCCTTCTGGCCTTATTTATCAAGGTGTGAATATCAAACTTCAAACTTATTTCATACGAAGAGATATAAATGGGGAGGAAACAACCATGCAGGGATTTGAACATACGACCTTCCGCTTTGATACCATGTTAAAAATGAATAAACAACCATTCAATCCAAAAACTCAAACTAATAGGTTGGGTAAATTTAATTCATTCATATGATTCAAAAATTATCTTTATACAAATTTCAGATCAGTTAAGATCGGGATCTTAAACAGTGCTTTGAACACCTATTTACTTGAAAAAGTTTGATGGGTGGTTGAAGTTTAACTACTCCATCCAACATACATAGAAAAGGAATATTAAGGTAACATTTAAGAATATTACTTTACATTGGACCCACTTAATTAGAAAATTAAAATAGTTTCTATTCGATTAAAGGGTCTAAGTATGTAAGATGAGGTGGATATTTAATATTAAAAACACACTCATTCATAGGAAATAATGTTTTTTATGCTAACATTTTTTTTATATTTAATATCGTTAGTTATTATTATTATTTTTTTTAGAAAAATGTCATTAGTGCTTTCAAATTATGGCTTAAAGATACAAATCTTTAACTAAATATTTGATTATATTTTTTCTGATATGTTTAGAGTGGTAGAAATTCTTGGAACATTAAGGAATATTTTTTTTTTCTTTTTCCTTCTCTTTTTCTTATTTGAACTTCCAACTTGTAGGGAGATTGGAGACAAATAATACTTTGATTAGTGTAGCTATGTTTATGTTGACAAAAAATATCGATTTCTTTTTTTTTCTTTTTTTAGAAGAATAGTATATTTTTCCAACACTAAATTATATATTCAATGTATAGGAAATATATATATTCTCCCTCCCCTAAAATCTTTGTTTGATTTATACTCCGCAGCCTCTAACTAAGACCACAAAATTTACAACTCAAAAAACACATTCATGTTCCAATAAAATTAACTCCCACAAATGAAAAATTCAACAACAAAATGTTTGTTCATTTGTGTTCTTGGTTCCTTGTTTCTACCTGACGAGTATTTTACAAGAGTTGGGACAAATTTTGTAAAAATCCCAAATTTTTGTCGAAAAAAGAAAAGACCGAGTACGGTTGGAAATGATTTACTTTGGAGGTGATTGAAGGTTAAAAAAATCTTTTTAAGCGTTTAAAATTTTTTAATTATTTTTACATTTCTCTCTCTTAATTGTTAAATATTTAATTTTGTCAGTTTTTTAATTATTTTTACATTTCTCTCTCTTAATTGTTAAATATTTAACATTGTTGGGAAAGAATTCTTTTTTAACTTTAAGAGCCAAGTTTAAAGATATCTATTTTAGTCTTAAAAGTTTTTTAAAATAGCAAGTTTGATCCTAAACTTTAATAAAAAATATATTTTTTAGTTTCTAAATTATAAAAAAGAAAAACAATTATTTTGATCATAGTTATCATCACACCACTACCATCCGATGGCTTAACAATAATTGGCACCGAGTTCAAACTCCCATATCTCTAATTTGACGTACGTTCACTCAATATTTCTCAACCAATTGATGTGATTGAAATTTGTACCCAGCCATATTATCCATGTTTATTTGTTTTTTTTCCTAAAAAAGCATATTTACCCTTTTGTAAAAGGAAATAATGGTAAAATCCAAAATGATTTTATAGACTAAATAAATACTTTTTAGAGACCAAAATAGATCCAAACTAATCTTTTTCCTTAGAAGGTATTAAATTTCAACGTGTTGACATTATGTGGGTAAATCAACATTTTCATAGAATCACAAATAAATCCACAAAATATAAAAAATATCAACAAAATAGACCACTTTTACTCATTTAAAAAAGATAAAGTCTTTATTTTTTTGTTAACTTAAATATTTGTTCAAATTTTTCAAAAAATATCGACATTTCCATCAAATTTAAACATTTAAAACCTTGTGCTGATCTATATTAAATTTCATATTACAACATAAATAAGAAGTAAGATCTGTGTGTGGATTAAAAAGTAAAAACAATCTTTTAAAGAGGGGTAAGAAATCAAACAAAACAATACAAATGAGAAAGGTCAAAAGAAATCTTATTGAAAATCGTTCAGAATCCGTTTGATATTCCATTATGCAAATATTCCAAAAAGAAAAGACCAGCAAGAACATTCAAGTGAAATTCAAGTGCATGAACATGAACAAGGAATTTGAGCAACAAAATGCTCATCAAAAAGGAAATTTGGCATCCATTAGTTTAAGAAAGTAATCAATAATTAACATAAAACCACATTCTAAAAGCAACAGCTATTTTCATTCATTACTAAAAGTTACCCAGAAATACACTATTAATTGAGAGCTTAAGATTCCTCAATCAGTGACCTTGTTTTTTTTAACCTACTATGTAAAAACGTCTTTAATGTATGTAGCTGCAGAACATCTAAATACACAACACATATATATAAATTATATAGTAAGCAACTAGCATATAGACAGGAAGAAGATTTCACCTTCTTTAGGGCATGAAGATGGCCTTCCTCCTCCCTCTGAAAATATATTTACTTCCGATCATCGGAGCCATCAATGCGAGTTGTCTCATTTTTTGCTTCAGAGATACCACAAGGGTGTATCTTGCTTGGGCAATGGCGGGTCGACTGCATAATCAATGGATGCCAAGTTAAATGGAGAACCGAATCTGAAGTCTGCGATGTTATCGTTGGGATACATGCCGAATGGAGAATCGAATGCCTTGTACTCCTCAAATGGGACTTTTGTTGAAGAAAAATCAGGGTGCTGCTGGATTGGCATGCTAGTTCCTACCATTGCTGCTCCTTGGCAATACAAGTTATCATCGACTTGAAGTTGGAATTTCTGCAGCTGTGTGTTGTGATGATCCTCTCTAGCTTCGACAACGTTACCAGAATTCAAAGCTTTGTCATGTTGAAGGTTAGAATCGTAGAAGCTCAGAAGGTCAGAAATCATTTTCTGGCCATCTTCCGGAAGTCCAAGTCCTGAAACTCTGAAGGGTGGATGATTCTGGTTCATTGGCCGAGAAGGTGGCTTAGAGTGGTTGAAGGATGGAGGAACTGGAGATGATTTGTCATCGTTGGTTTGAAAGCTCGGCATGCCAAATATGTGGGAAGAATCACTCCTAAATGGGCAATTCAACTGGTGGTTGTTTCTTGAAGTCCTGTCGAGAAACCCGAGGCGCTGACTGTTATAAGGGCATTGAGAATACTCGCAAGTATATATCTTCTGATTCATCATTGTATTCGACTCATCAGTCAACTGCTTTCTCTTTTGAATAAAGTCTGAATTGTTCTCCATGAATTCTTCCTTAATCTGAGGTCCCAATGGTGGCATCATAAGCCTCTCTCTAGCTCCAGAAGCCCCCATATTAAAGAAACTGAGATCGTGCGGTTTGTTTTCCTCTGCTTCGACATGGGGTTCATCTTCTATTCCTTCAACATCGTAATCACTAGTGTCACTGATTAAAAGAGATCCACTCCCGCAAATCGCCACAGGTGGGCATTTATCGGGATACAATTTCCTGGCCAGTGCTTCTTCCTGGTTTACAATGGCCAGCCATGTAGCACTCTCCTTGGCAGTCATTTTGTCTTGCAAACATTTAGACTGACGAACAAGCTTGCGAATTTTGGCAATGTCGGGAGACATGTGCTTAATCACAGCAGTGAGAACACTGACTTTCCAAGCCTTTTTCAGATCATGGGGCTTCTTATAAGGGGGAGGCCCCTGGTCCTTGGGTAATCCCAATTCAGGCCACCATTCTTCGTTTCCAGTGGGCCACCACGGTGGGGAAGCTCCCTTCTCCAATGGAAAACGCCTCTGCGGTGGATCACAGTGCTGCATCAGAGCCGACAAAAGTGATCCAAGGGTTGTGTCTTGGAGTTCTTGTAAAGTGTGAGGTGTGGATGTCACTGTATTGCAGTCATCGTTCTTCCCAGGAATTGCATGGTCAGCTTGATATTTAGCAATGGCTGCAGGGCCATTTCTATCGAACCTGACTTTCTCTTTCCACCAGGCACGAAGATTATCAGAAGCTCCACTGACTGGCTTTCCTTTCTCGGGAATGATCCCGTAAACGAAACCTTGAGCTTTACAAACCTCCATCATTTTCAACATATATTTCAGGATACCATCTTGAGCTCGAGACATCTTCTTCCTTCGGGCCTGTTCCTGGGACTGACGCTGCTTTGAATTATCAGTCCCTTCCTTCTCTTTGTTTTGTTCTTTGAGCCGCCTCAAAAGCATTCGGTCTCTCCACATCCTTCTCTCAAGCTCATCAACATCCATCTCTTCATCACTATAATCTTCCTCCAAAGTGGCCTCAGGTTCATGCTCCCGAGCCATCTCTTGTTCACCAGGAGGTGCCGAAAAATAGTCAAGATTTCGGCAAAATCCAATATCTTCAAAGATTCCCATGGAGTTCATCATTGAAATAAATATACCACAGTTACAAACCAATTAATTAAGCCCCAGTATCTTCGTCTTCAAACCACTTGCTGGTGGATGGATTAATCTCTTATCTAAGCAGTGTTCAAAGAAAATGATGGTCGCAGTAGTCTTAGGATCCACAAAATTCCAAGTTCTGGCGAAACATCCCAGAAAATTGATTATTCATGATATCCTGTCCAAAAATTAACAACTCAATAGTTGGTTAAAAACTTAAATATAATCCTATAATACCTCAAGAAGCACGATTACTTTGAGTTCGTTACGGCTCCAATACTTTTAAAAATAATAATAATAATAAAAAAGTCAAACTCATCAGATGAATTAAATAAAAGAAACGAAGCGTAGAAGAAACACATAGCTATATGCACAAGCGAATTAAACCCATAAATTGAATATTTTTAAGAATGGAAAAAAAAAACATTCATACTTGAGGAGAAATCGTCATTAAATCGTCATTTCCTCACTAATTAAAAAAAAAAAAAGAAGAAGATTAAAATATATTAAATAAGAGAAAAAAATCAGAAGATAATATAAAATAAATCCAAGAACTAATTATCATGAGATGTATTTTCAACGTCACAAAAGAAAAATTAACGCGAACATCAGATTGCAAGTAATTCGAGTGTTCCTGGTTATTCGCTTCAAATCCATACCCTTAACACTGAAATTTGAAACTCTGCGTGTAAGTAACGCCACGTTCGATCCGCGTATTATCTTCGCGAAAGAATTTCCAGCAAATTTCTCCATCTCTAAAGCAAAACTAAGCTAACCTTTACGACCTAACAAAGAGATAGAGTTACGAGTCGACATGAATTCCTATTCACGCCTACTGAAATGATCTGTTTAAGTGACATAAGAAGAAGACCTCAGCCGTCTTTGGATCGAGAAACTCGGAATCAATCAAATCTCCTCCCCGAAAAAAATAGAAAAACGACGACATTCAACAAATAACGTAAGGATCAAAGCGTTGAAGAAGAGAACAAGTTGCAGAACTCGCAAAGAAAGACAGCAGAAGAATAGCAAACGAAACGCCTATACCTAGAAAAAAAAAACGCATATCACAGTAAATTACAAACAATTCAGAAGAATCAAAAACCTCCAACCGCGAACTCCGGCCTCAACAACAGCAGCAGGAGATCAACACAAACAAAACTAAAACAACTCATTAGAAAAACCAGGCACCAACAAATTCGATTGAAAAACGAAAACACTCCGCAATTCCAAGCTCCATTAATCAAATTCAATTATCAACACAATTAACCAGAAACAAAAGAAATTGTACGAGAACGAACACCATGCTACCGTTGCCGAGATTTTTACCTGACCTTCCGTAAGCCATTGAAAGTCTTCCTCCGAACTCTGACCTCTCCACTGAATCTCTCAGAACACAGAGAAACGAAGTGACGGTGCTGAGGCTTTTGTTGTTATCCTCTCCTCTGAAACTAGAGAGAGAAAGAGAAAGAGGAGAGAGAGAGAGAAAATGGTGGGGCCTCAAATGCAAAAGACAAACAGTAAAATCCCAGGGGGAAGGAGGAGACTTAACACGATCTCCAGTATTTAACCCTGGTTGAGTTAACTCTTCTAACCGCGGTTAAATCCCTTGGGGGCTGCCGTTTGGACTTTTGCATGTGAGGCTATTTTCCCCTGTTTTGTTCTCATACTAAAATCCATGCTCTCGCCTCTCACCTTCCGACGCGTGTCCTCCTTTAGTTCTAATTATTTAAAAAAAATTCCATTTTTTGATTAAACGTGCGAGGCGAGGCGACCCTTCGTGCTTCAAATTATTAATAAAAGGTACCCTTTGGCTTCTACACACCCAGCCCAATTATTAATTTTAATTAATTTCCTTCGTTAAATAAATAATATTGGCTTATTTGGAAAGTAATAATATTTGTAATTAAAATTATATAAAATATAGTGTGAACTTTTTATAAGTGTACGATAAAAATACTCTTTTACCCGCAAATAATGATATCTCCAGCATACCAAAACTAGCTGTCACTCAAGAGATGTAACGATTGATACATAGAATAATTTTTTATTTGATTGATAATCATATAAAGCGGAAGAGATTTTTGTCATTTGCATCAAGCTCAAAAATTGATTGTTAGCATACTCGATCAAACGGGTGATTTTCTCACCTCCTACAGATCCCATACTACCCCTAAACTGAAAATCCATAACCCCAATGGTTGGGTTGAAAGGGTAGTTTTGTCAAAATGGGTTAAATATTATCTTTGTAGATGTCAAAATTTTATTTTTATATTTTCTGAAGTGATTCTAACGCTCTGACGTGGGATTGAAAAAAATTCAACCAAACGTTTATTGCATGAAAAAGTGTCATATATGAAGGTTTCAATTTGGGAAGGTTGTTAATTGCTCATGAATCTGTGTTGATAAGATTCCATAACAAATTAAGAGATTGCCTAATGTAGAAAAGCCATGTAGAGATAAACACTAAAAAAAATAAAGATAAGAAGGGATTCTTAGGGATAGACTTGAGAGCGGGAACAAGTTTATTGTGTGGCGACAAAAGTCGAGCAGAACACTTAGATCCAGCCAAGAGATAATTCATGATAGGCGAGCATAATACCGTGATAAAATAAGTTTAGAGTTATAGTTATGTAACAACTTATTACTGATTTCCTTAAAATAGATATAGATGAGTGAGACATATCTTCATCGATCGTCTGATTCGAGTCGAGCTAACAAGCCATATGTTATAGACAAATGAATGTCGTATGAGAATTCGATTTAATCACAAGTTAATGATTGAAATGTTTATATTAGTTCGAACTTTCACAATTATTTTATTTTGATCTATATAAATGTTCTTTTTATTTTTTATTTTTTAACTTTGTGTTAAAAAAATTTAATCATACGTGTTAGATTTTCATACTATATATTATTTAGTAAATGAAAATAATTAGGTTGTAGACATACTTTGAATCACGTAGATATCAATTTTAGAAACAATCGACTATAAACTAATGTCAACTGCAATAAAAAAAATCGAATATTAAAATCAAAATAGATATTTTAAAATTTTAAAGACACAAGCCAACGAAAACTTATAATATTTTCACATGAATGTTTTGAATGGTTGATTTAGTGACAGGAGGTGCATGGAAAACAAATAAATTAAAAGGTAAAATTATAGATATTATTTTATTTGCGTTAATTTAAATGATGATTGTAAATTAAGTAATAATTTGGAGAATAAAAATAGAATTTGCTGTGATAGGAAAAAAGGAAACGAGTAATTATAATATAACGAGAAAGAATCAAACGTTTATTTTTTTCCGTAAAAGAAACTTACCTTATTTCGTGGACAATAATAATAACTAAATAAATACATAAATTTATCTACGGGAGAAGTTGACGAGAGGGCTAAGGGGAAAGGGTTGGTTGCCCCTTACGCGCTTTTTTAGGAGGAGTTCAGTGTAGTCGGATGGAAGGGAAGCGCATATCGGAAACGAATCGGGCCAGGAAGTTGGTGGGCTCATCATGAATTAGGTCGGGGTGGCTGGTGGTTTCGGGATCCCGTAGAAAATGCTTCTTTTATGCCTCGGGTATTAGCCAYAGCTCGTATTCATTCAGTCATTTTACCCCTTCTTCATTCTTGGACCTCGTTTCTTAATATTGTGACTTTTCCATTGCAAAATCTGTAACGAAATATGTTGTAGTGTTAATTGGAAGGTTAGAAGTAGTATTAACCAATGTCTTATTAGATTTTGTTATAAAAATACTCTAAATAACTTTTCCATTTGTTTAAAAAATATTTCTATCATTTCAAAAATTTTAATACAATATTTGACATTTTAAAATATGCTTTGAGCAAAACATTGATTATATTTTGAAAAGAAAGTTAATTGCTACGATGTTTTTCACAAAAAAAAAAATAATAAGGGAAAAATTGGATTGAAAACGAAGAAGCAACCTCTTTTAATAATGAAGGAAGATGACTTTTAAGACAAAATAAAGAAGTTAATTGCTACGTCGTTTCAAAGTATGTTGCATCAAGTTTTTCTATTAAAAATCAAAGCGAGTCTAACTTAACGGTAATTGATATATATCTCCAATCAAGAGGTTGTGAGTTCGATCTCCCACCTCCACACGTTGTACTAAAAAAAGTTTTTCTATTAAAAATATTAATCTATGTCTGCTTAAATGGTATTTTTAAAACCTTATGAAAAATTTAAGGTAATGTTGAAACTTCTAAAATGATAGAGTAACTTATAAATGAATAGCGAAATTTAAGGGTTTTTTTTTTAATTTAACTTAATTAAAGAGTAATTATAATACAACCAGAAAGAATTAATATATTTTTTAAAAACTTACTTTATTTCGTCGTAATAATAAATTAATTAAAACAATCCGTTGAGGTGTAAGAGAGAAACATGGGAAAGAAAGCGAAAGCCTGGCTTCGTGGAAGCAGGAAAAAGTCTTCCATTTTTTACTACTTTTTTATTTTTTTGGTTATAATAATTTATTAAACAATAAATAAACGAATTATAATTAAAATTGGTAAATGGTGGGACCCACGTTGGGTTTCAACGCTCGGTAATGCGAGTGACGGGGCAACTAACCAGCACAGCACAAACACTTTGGTTCGACTTGGAGGGCCCCACCCTCTCTTTCTTATTTAATTAAAAAAAAACTTTTATAAATTATTTCGTATTAATATAAAGATTAAATTGCAAATTTGATTTTGAGCGAGCTTGAATTTAGTTAATATAATTTTAAAAGTTTTGGTTTGGACTTATCTATTTGGTCCTCTAATCATTCGGATTTAATTTTAATTTGATCTCTATAATTTAATTAAATCTCGTTAAATGGTCATTAGTCATGCATCCAACATTATACTCAACTAGCAAATTACTAAAATAAAAAAATTAATACGAATTTGTTCATGAATTCTAAATATAGAATATTTAGAATTCAATTACATTTTTCAGAGAATAGTACTTACCTCTCAATCTCTTGTTAACCAATATTATATAAAGTGGAATAAATGGATACAAAAAGAGAGAGTAAGAATGAATATTTTTTTTTTAAAAAAAGATAGATAGTCGTTGAATTTGTAGCAGTAGTTAGCGGGAGCAATTGGAGAGATTTTTTTCTTTTTTCAGAAAGATAAATAGTTGTCAAATTTTTAGCCATGATCAAACTTATGCTAACTTAATGGTGAGGTAAGTATTATTTTTTACAATATTGTAGATGTAGATCAATCGATGCTTCAACCATTAAATTATTAGATTAGTTTGTAATTATGTCTTTTTAACTTTGGATTATACTTCTATTTAATTATGATCATTAATATTATTAATGAAATGATGTCGTGATATGCCTTTTTTTTAATTAGCTCAACAAATATGATGGATTGAACCTTCGACTTCAGAGAATGTATAAATACTTTTATCATTTAACTATGCTCGAATTGACACGTACCTTTTGACTGAGTTAACCTAAAATAAGTTTTGTTTCAAAGGCTTTTAAAATGAATGTTTTTGCCCAAGTATTTTCTTCATAAACCACTTTTACAACAAACCATTTAATATTTGTGATGTTTAATAATGCTTAGGAAGTACTTATCAAGTCAAGCACTAAATAAAAAGTAGCCTACCAAATATTTTCTTTCAAAATATCATAAAGTATTTTAACTTTTTCTAAAAGCAATTTTAAGTTCGGCTCGCGATGACTTATGAGTGGAGAATTGTCAAAAACACTTCCACGTATAAATGTAGTTTTACAAAAAATTAAAAATAAAAGATTCATCACGATTTTTCAATAGCTTTTTATTTATCTTAGAATTGAATACAAATATTTTATACTAATTATTTAAAAAATACATTAAAAATAAAAAATTCCAACAAGTGAGGTGGTCTATAACTACACACTTCCATTGGTTGGAAATATTGTGAATTGCTACTAAATTATACTCAGTTTTCGAGTACTTTTAATATTTAATTGAAAATATATAAACTAATTTACTTTTGACATTTAATTAAGAGAGACGTGACAACCAATAAAAGGGGTTTAGGATTAAATTAAATTAATAAATAAATTCATGTGGAGGGTGTGTTTACTTTACTTTCCCAAAAGCCAAAACCCATCACATCGCCGAAAACCAACTCAATTTTCACAGTTTATCACGTGATTTTTTCTTTTTTAATTTAATTTTCTCTTTTTCTTTTCATTTGAGATGATATTTTTTAGTACTACCGAGAAGTAGAAATATTATTAGGATGATATGAGATCGTTATCCATCCCTCAAAACTTTCATAAAATTTCGTAGAGATCGGGAT